TGTTGTTGTCGCGGTGACGGTGGCAACTGCGAAGCGCGCGCGTCGCTCTCTCGGGGGGGGAGAGTGGGGGGAGTGGTGGGGGGAGAGTGGGGGGGGGGGAGAGTGGGGGGAAGTGGTGGGGGGAGAGTGGGGGGAGTGGTGGGGGGAGAGTGGGGGGGGGGAGAGTGGGGGAAGTGGTGGGGGGAGAGTGGGGGGAGTGGTGGGGGGAGAGTGGGGGGGGGGGGGGAGAGTGGGGGGAAGTGGTGGGGGGAGAGTGGGGGGAGTGGTGGGGGGAGAGTGGGGGGGGGGGGAGAGTGGGGGGAAGTGGTGGGGGGAGAGTGGGGGGAGTGGTGGGGGGAGAGTGGGGGGGGGGAGAGTGGGGGAAGTGGTGGGGGGAGAGTGGGGGGAGTGGTGGGGGGAGAGTGGGGGGGGGGAGAGTGGGGGAAGTGGTGGGGGGAGAGTGGGGGGAGTGGTGGGGGGAGAGTGGGGGGGGGAGAGTGGGGGGAAGTGGTGGGGGGAGAGTGGGGGGAGTGGTGGGGGGACGGAGAGTGGGGGGGGGAGAGAGAGTGGGGAAGTGGTGGGGGCGAGTGGGGGGAGTGGTGGGGAGAGAGGGAAGTGGGGGGGGAGGGAGAGTGGGGGGGAAGTGGTGGGGGAGAGTTGTGGGGGAGTGGTGGGGGGAGAGTGGGGGGGGAGGGAGAGTGGGGGAAGTGGTGTGGGGGAGAGAGGTGGGGGTGAGTTGTGGGGGAAGAGTGGGGGGGCGGGAGAGTGGGGGAGGGGAAGTGGTGGGGGGAGAGTGGGGGGAGGTGGTGGGGGGAGAGAGTGGGGGGAGAGTGGGGTGAGTGGGTGGGGGGCAGAGTGGGGGAGTGGGTGAGTGGAGATGTATTGATCTACACTGTCCTCCTACCGCGTGAGTGGAGATTGTATGATCTCCCCCTGTCATACAGAGTGAGTGAGTGGAGTTTGTATGATCTCCCCTGTTCTGCAGAGTGAGTGAGTGGAGTTGTATGATCTCCCCCTGTTCTGCAGAGTGAGTGAGTGGAGTTTGTATTGATCTCCCCCTGTCCTACAGAGAGAGTGGTGAGTGGAGTTTGTATGATCTCCCCCTGTTCTGCAGAGTGAGTGAGTGGAGTTTGTGTGATCTCCCACCTGTCCTACAGAGTGAGTGAGTGGAGTTGTGTGATCTCCCCCTGTCCTACAGAGTGAGTGAGTGTAGTTTGTATGATCTCCCCCTGTTCTGCAGAGTGAGTGAGTGTAGTTTGTATGATCTACCCCCTGTTCTACAGAGTGAGTGAGTGGAGTTTGTATGATCTCCCCCTGTTCTGCAGAGTGAGTGAGTGGAGTTTGTATGATCTCCCCTTGTTCTGCAGAGTGAGTGAGTGGAGTTTGTATGATCTCCCCCTGTTCTGCAGAGTGAGTGAGTGTAGTTTGTATGATCTCCCCCTGTTCTGCAGAGTGAGTGAGTGGAGTTTGTATGATCTCCCCCTGTTCTGCAGAGTGAGTGAGTGGAGTTTGTATGATCTCCCCCTGTTCTGCAGAGTGAGTGAGTGGAGTTTGTATGATCTCCCCTTGTTCTGCAGAGTGAGTGAGTGGAGTTTGTATGATCTCCCCCTGTTCTGCAGAGTGAGTGAGTGGAGTTTGTATGATCTCCCCCTGTTCTGCAGAGTGAGTGAGTGAGTGGAGTTTGTATGATCTCCCCCTGTTCTACAGAGTGAGTGAGTGGAGTTGGTATGATCTCCCCCTGTTCTGCAGAGTGAGTGAGTGGAGTTTGTGTGATCTCCCCCTGTCCTACAGAGTGAGTGAGTGTAGTTTGTATGATCTCCCCCTGTTCTGCAAAGTGAGTGAGTGTAGTTTGTATGATCTCCCCTGTTCTGCAGAGTGAGTGAGTGGAGTTTGTGTGATCTCCCCCTGTCCTACAGAGTGAGTGAGTGTAGTTTGTATGATCTCCCCCTGTTCTGCAGAGTGAGTGAGTGTAGTTTGTATGATCTCCCCTGTTCTGCAGAGTGAGTGAGTGGAGTTTGTATGATCTCCCCCTGTTCTGCAGAGTGAGTGAGTGGAGTTTGTATGATCTCCCCCTGTTCTGCAGAGTGAGTGAGTGGAGTTTGTATGATCTCCCCCTGTCCTACAGAGTGAGTGAGTGGAGTTTGTATGATCTCCCCCTGTTCTACAGAGTGAGTGAGTGGAGTTTGTGTGATCTCCCCCTGTTCTGCAGAGTGAGTGAGTGGAGTTTGTATGATCTCCCCCTGTTCTGCAGAGTGAGTGAGTGAGTGGAGTTTGTATGATCTCCCCCTGTCCTACAGAGTGAGTGAGTGGAGTTTGTATGATCTCCCCCTGTTCTACAGAGTGAGTGAGTGGAGTTGGTATGATCTCCCCCTGTTCTGCAGAGTGAGTGAGTGAGTGGAGTTTGTATGATCTCCCCCTGTCCTACAGAGTGAGTGGAGTTTGTGTGATCTACCCCTGTTCTACAGAGTGAGTGAGTGTAGTTTGTATGATCTACCCCTGTTCTACAGAGTGAGTGAGTGGAGTTTGTATGATCTCCCCCTGTGAGCCGAAACACACTCACAGGCAAAAAGAGTCACAGACATATACAGAAACCCACAGACACCCACACACACAGAGAAACACACACACACAGAGACACAGAGAGAGAGACAGACACAGAGAGACACACACACATACAGACACACACAGAGAGACACACACAGAGACACACACACACAGAGACATGGTCTCCGGAGGAGCTCACCGATGGGACTTTGCCCAGATATTTCAAGGATTTGTGAGCTCCTCACACAATCCAACCTGGTTAAACCCAGGATGGATCGTAGGCAGGCCAGCCTAAATGTTTCCAACCGGAGAGACACACACACACAGACACAAACACAAAGACACACACACAGAGAGAGGCACACACAGAGACACACACAGATACACACAGAGACACACACACAGAGAGACACACATACACAGAGACACACACAGACACACACAGAGACACACACACACAGAGACACAGAGACACACACAGAGACACACACACACAGAAACACACACACACAGAGACACACACAGATACACACAGAGACACACAGAGAGAGACACACACACAGAGACACAGAGACACACACACATATACAGAGAAACACACACACATACACAGAGAAACACACACACAGAGACACACACACACACACAGAGAAACACACACAGAGACGTAGGCATATGCACAATCTCGTGACACTCACTCTCCCTCAAGGGCACGACCTCAAGCGCGACCCAGGCTGAGGACAGCGGTGGTGAGGACGAGACGGAGAATCTCACGCGGAGGAGATAGCGGCCACCGGCATCGTCCAGCGCTGAAGAGACGTCGCAGCACGTGTCTTTGGTGGCAGCACAGACGGTCTGCCAGAGGGCGCGTCTGAAGCTGCGCAGACAGAGACACAGGGAGCAGTGGTGAGGGTGGTGAGGAGAGAGTGGGTGAGTGGGTTGGTGGGTGGGTGGGTTGGTGAGTGAGTGAGTGGGTTGGTGGGTGAGTGGGTTGGTGGGTGAGTGAGTGGGTTGGTGAGTGAGTGAATTAATGAGTGAGTGGCTGAGTGAGTGGCTGAGTGAGGCTGAGTGAGTGAGTGGAGTGAGTGAGTGGGTTGGTAGGTGAGTGGGTTGGTGGGTGAGTGAGTGGCTGAGTGAGTGAGTGGGTTGGTGAGTGAGTGGGTTGGTGAGTGTGGTGAGTGGGTTAGTGGGTGGGTGAGTGGGTTGGTGAGTAAGTGGGTCGGTGAGTGAGTGGGTGAGTGAGTGGGTGAGTGGGTGAGTGGGTTGGTGGGTGAGTGGGTTCGTGAGTGGGTTGACGAGTGAGTGAATTAATGGGTGAGTGCCTGAGTGAGTGGCTGAGTGAGTGAGTGGCTGAGTGAGTGGGTTGGCGGGTGAGTGAGTGGGTTGGTTGGTGAGTGGGTTGGTGAGTGAGTGGGTTGGTTGGTGAGCGAGTGGGTTGGTGAGTGAGTGACTTAATGGGTGAGTGGCTGAGTGAGTGAGTGAGCATCTCACAGTTTGCTCTGAACTCTGTAGGTGACATTCAGGAACGTTGAGTTGGTGGTGGTGGTGGAGTTGATGCTTGAAGGGTCAACAGGTGGGGGTCTCTCTCCTCCACCCCCCACAGGAGCCACTTCAACGGGGTCCCAGCAAAGCGTCGCCAGGAGGTCTTGAGACTCCAAACGCACATTCAGTAGATACGGCGCAACTGGGCAGATGGGAAAACAACACTCACACACAGTGCGCTAACCACTGCACCACCACTCACACAGTGCGCTAACCACTGCACCACCACTCCCCCCACACACACACAGTGCGCTAACCACTGCACCACCACTCACTCACACACAGTGCGCTAACCAGTGCACCACCACTCCCCACACACACAGTGCGCTAACCACTGCACCACCACTCCCCCCACACACACAGTGCGCTAACCACTGCACCACCACTCACACACAGTGCGCTAACCACTGCACCACCACTCCCCACACACACACAGTGCGCTAACCACTGCACCACCACTCCCCACACACACACAGTGCGCTAACCACTGCACCACCACTCCCCACACACACACACACACAGTGCGCTAACCACTGCACCACCACTCACCGTGGCTGCACGTGGCGAGGTGGAGGAGGTCACGTGTGGAGAGTTTCGACGTCGCCATTAACACCACGTGACCTCTGACCCGAAGTCACGTGCAGAGAAAATCGATACGCGCGTCTCATTGGTCCTCCTACGTGGAGGCCACGCCCCCTCGAGAATTTTCCGCTCTCCCGATTGGTCCGCCGTGGGGGTGACGTCACGACACAACAAACCCCCCCCACCCCTCCATTGCCACGTAAGCCAATCGGCGAACTCCCCACTGGGTGATGACGTCATGCACGCGCATCCTGTAGCCAATGAGCGCGTCCGCGTAGGGACGGATGACGTCATGTGACGCGAGAGGGGGAGGGGCTACACAAGTCGAGGCCGAGACGCTGTAGCAGCTGCTGCTGTAGCTACAGCTGTTGCTGCTGCTGTTGCTGCTGCTGCTACTACAGCAGCTGCTGCTGTAGCTACAGCTGTTACTGCTGCTGCTGCTGTTGCTGCTGCTGCTGCTGCTGCTGCTGCTGCTACTACAGCTGCTGCTGCGTTGCCTGCCGACAGCAGCGACCTGTTGTGAGCATTGCGAGCCCCGCTGCCGTGAAGTTGCGGGGAAAGTATCTGAAGGTGAGTGGGTGGTCCTCCCCTACCTACCTCCACCAGCACCACTCTTCTTTTAAAGGAATAAGTGCGTCCGTCCACGCCTGCGACGATTGGAGTGGTGAGGGTGAGGGGTGAGCGGTTGTTGTGAGGGTGGGTGGTGAGGATGAGTGGTGAGGGTGAGAGTGAGGGGTGAGGGTGGGTGGTGAGGGTGAGTGGTGAGGGTGAGTGGTGAGGGTGAGTGGTTGTTGTGAGGGTGGGTGGTGAGGGTGAGTGGTGAGGGTGAGAGTGAGGGGTGAGGGTGAGTGGTGAGGGTGAGTGGTGAGGGTGAGTGGTGAGGGTGAGTGGTGAGAGTGAGTGCTGAGTGGTGAGGGTGAGTGGTGAGGGGTGAGTGGTGAGGGTGAGTGGTGAGGGTGAGTGGTGAGAGTGAGTGCTGAGTGGTGAGGGTGAGTGGTGAGGGTGAGTGGTGAGGGTGAGTGGTGAGGGTGAGGGTGAGTGGTGAGGGTGAGTGGTGAGGGTGAGTGGTGTGGGTGAGTGGTGAGAGTGAGTGCTGAGTGGTGAGGGTGAGTGGTGAGGGTGAGTGGTGAGGGTGAGTGGTGAGGGTGAGGGTGAGTGGTGAGTGGTGAGGGTGAGTGGTGAGGGTGAGTGGTGATTAGTGAGTGGTGAGGGTGAGTTATGAGTAAGCTCCAAGATTAATAAACAAAAAATCTCGACAAATAAAAGTGCATGCGCAGTAATAGAATAACAATAACAACGATGATGATCAACCCGTGCTTGTTAAAGTTCAACGCGTTCACTACGATATTTAATAATCTCTCGTTGAAATAATCCCGCCAAATTGAGTCGTTGATGAGGTCAGCTGTGAATCACCCTGAGGTGTTGACCTGAGGCCAATTAATTAAGCAACGTGCTCATTCAATTACAAATTGCGTGTGTGACGTGAGTTGACTTCGGGCTTTATTTGAATTTTTTAAAAATGCAATTGTGTTTAATTTAAGGACAGTGCACATACATTATCAGAGTTGTGTTTTTTGTTTGTATTACGACCGCAGGTATTGTGGTCTATGCAAAGAGGACTCCTTGTAAAAAGGTGTCAGTTTTGTTGCCAGATAGAAGGGTACAAAAAAACAATTATCAAGACAATCCTAGATTGAATAGGAATGATAAAGACCTCTTAATATCTCGATTTAAAGCTTTCGTGACTGCAGGGATTCATCTTCTTGGTTCTTTCGGTAAAGTCACGTAGAAGGGAAGTAATAAAATAATAAAAATAAAACATCATAAAATATTATTTTATTTTATTACTTCCCTTCTACGTGACTTTACCGAAAGAACCAAGAAGATGAACCTCTTAGTATCGTTGGAGATTGTCATTAATTTAGCTAAGAGTGAGTGGCAAGCTCGACTGGCCACGATGATTCATAGATGTTTGCCTTTTGCTCATTTAACTCTGGGTAACGTCATCTGTGATTGTTTTTAAATCCTTTATATTAAGTTCGCTTGCTTGCTTGCGTGCTTGCTTGCTTACGACCGTGCAAATCTTTCGGTCGTTTTTTAACCCACTTCCCGTGATCCAATCGAGCTGACATTTTGCACACAGACTCGTTGTGCGTGACAATTTATTTTCGTGAAAATTTGTTTCCAAAATTTTCCACTTTTTAGGAAAAAATTTTTTCATATTTAATTTAAAATACCAATGTGATAAAAATGAAACTCTTACTCAAGAAAAACAGAAATGAATAATAAAATAAAACCGATGCCACGCATATAAAGTATTTATAGTGGAAAAACTTTGTTTTTTCGGGTTAATTTTTTTCAAATTTTCTTGCTGTGGATTTCACACCTGATGATGATTGCTTGTGTTGCAGTCGAAACGCCGTGAGAATTTTAATCGGATCGCCAATGGCTCTGATGATGACAGTTGCTGTGAGAGTTGTATTTGCCTAGCTACAATGCCACTGGTCATTCTAGTGAATGGGCGGCACAGATGCTAATGCAACAGCAATGCCATTTCGAGGGTGTGGAATTTATCCTGTTATGTACGAAACTTGAGAACCCTAGCTACATACAATGTCTGCTGCCAGTTTTATAGGGCTGAACATTGAAAATGTCTAAGTGTACAATTATTGCGATTACCATGTCTCTATAGTCGTGGTTGAAGAGACATTGTAATGTTTTTAAACTATTTTATCTTTTCCTGTAATTTCTTGAAATTCTCTTTTGGCGGGTCAGGTAAAGACATGCCTTACAATGGCTGCCCATAAAACAAAATTGTTTTAATGCATTTGTTTTCTGGCCATTTGTTTTAGTGGCCAGTTACTGGGCTGATTCTGCTGTGAGACCCGAGTGTGTGCTTCGCCGGGGAGAGATGTAAAAATGTAGGTGAAAAATGAAATAAAAATTAATAAAAAGAAATTAAATTACGACGTTTCGGAAGCAACACAAGCTTCCGTGTTCAGGTGAAACTGTCACAGCAAAATATCTGTTTCACCTGAAGACGGAAGCTTGTGTTTCTTCCGAAACGTTGTGATTTTTCTCTTCTTCTTGGTTCGTTCGGTAAAGTCGTCACGTAGAAGGGAAGTAATAAAATAATAAAAATAAAACATAATAAAATAATTATCACGACGTTTCGGCCACAACGCAAGCAGCCGTCCTCAGGTGAAACCAGGTCTGTCGGGGAGACAGAGTCTGAATGAAACAGCACACGAGCTTGGAGCATATATATAAGCTGGGTTGGGAGGGGGGGAAAGGGCGCTTCGACAAAAGAATTTGCATATAAAGAGGAATTTAGCATATTTATGGGAAATGCAGGAATGTAATTAGTACTACATATGCCCGTGCATTATGCAGGATTAGCAGCATCCAAGGGAGGGGATATGGGAAATGCATGTATGTGAATAGTACTAATTATGCCCGTGCATTATGCAGGATTTGTGATTTTTATTCTTTTATTTTAATTTTAATTTCATTTTTTACCTACGTGACTTTACCGAGTATGATTCCTTGCAGTCGCGAAAGCTTCAAATCTCCAAGATATCAAAATGGACGAGCGGCGCATGCATCAGGACGATGAGGAGCGGCAACAGCAGCAGCAGCAGTCTCCAAACAATCGGAAGGCTCCTTCACGCACCAGGCAGAATGCAGCTTAGTCTGTGCGACAGTATCCTCCTGCCTTGGCAGAGGCAGCAACCCAGACTTGTCAGTCTCCACAGGCTCAGTCAGTTAAGCACACCCCACCAGTGCCTAAGGTGTCTTCTGGCAGCAGTCAGCGACCGAGTGGAGAGGCGGCTTCTGATACGAACTCCCAAGGTGATCACTTTGACTGCCCCTTGTTCACACACACGTGCTGTCTAGCTATTAAGACACATTTGAGGTTTTTGTAAATTATATAATTTCACTAATAGGGGTTTTCGCCTTTTTTCTGGCAACAAAACTGACACCTTTTGCAAGGAATCATGCTTACATTAACCACAATACTTGCAGTCAAATGCAAACAATAAACACAACTCTGATAATGTATGCATTGTCTTTGAAACGGATTGGTCCACACCAGAGACAGCTTTCTTTAGAGTCTCGTCTCATATGGTTTTCGACCAGATGACGCCAAGTATTGTGGTTAATGTAAGCATGATTCCTTGCAAAAGGTGTCAGTTTTGTTGCCAGAAAAAAGGGGAAAACCCCTATGAGTATATTTTGGTACTGGCAAAGGAGGTCCCATGATGACGCCTTTTGGCGTCATCTGGTCGAACATCATATGAGACTCGGCTCTAAAGAAAGCTGTCTGGTGTGGACCAATCAGTTTCAAAGACAATGCATACATTATCAGAGTTGTGTTTTTTGTTTGCATTTGACTGCAGGTATTGTGGTTAATGTAAACATGATTCCTTACAAAAGGTGTCAGTTTTGTTGCCAGAAAAAAAAAGGGGAAAAACCCTATTGGTATATTTTGCTACTGGCAAAGGAGGTCCCATGATGACATCATGTCATTGTATTATTCTGAAAGAAATTGTCCCTGCGTGTACTCGCCTTACCTGTCCGCTTTTTGCCACTTAACCAAATCCTCAGGCTGCGTGAAAGTGGTGTACGACATGCTGATGACTGCAAGCAACTGTGGCAGCAATTGGCCATCCGACCAAGAAGACATATTTCGCCTCCTGGTAAGTTACCTGCTTTCGTTTAAATTCCTCGCAATCACATGTCACAATAAGCATTTGATGTTTTAAAGAATTTGCTCTGCGGTCTGTATGTATGTAGGTGCACGGGAGAGAACATTTTGAAATATTAAAGAAAATCAAGGAAAACCTGGAGCTGATCCGAACGCTGCCCACGGATGCCAATGTGTTGCGCAACCTGCAGCAACAACAGTACGTGAACACGAAATAGACACATCGCTGCTCGTACGAGACAAGTTCCCGATTGCTGCTGTAATTAAATGGTAGCAACAGAAGGGAAGTAATAAAATGATAAAAAATAAAAATAATAAAATAATTCTCACGACGTTTCAGCCACAACGCAAGCAGCCGTCCTCGGGTGAAAACCAGGTCTGTCGAGGAGATAGCGTCTGAATGAAACAGCACACGCGCTTGGAGCGTGTATATACGCTGGGTTGGAAGGGGGGGGAAAGGGCGCCTTGACAAAATAATTTGCATATCAAGAGGAATTTAGCATATTTCCATATCCCCTCCCTTTGATGCTGCTAATCCTGCATAATGCATGGGCATAAGTAGTACTAATCACATACCTGCATTTCCCATAAATATGCTAAATCCCTCTTGATATGCAAATTCTTATTCAAGAAAACAACAAAAATGTACAATATAAACAATCATACAAAAACTGAAAACCTTATAATCCTTATATACGACTTTCCTTATATTTAATTTAAAATACCAATGTGATAAAAATGAAACTCTTACTCAAGAAAAACAGAAATGAATAATAAAATAAAACCGATGCCATGCATATAAAGTATTTATAGTGAAAAACTTTGTTTTTACGGGTTATTTTTTTGGGTTTTTTCTCCCTCCCAGATACGTGACGGAATTGCGTGGCAGGCCGTCCAACCTCAGCCGACACGGCAGCGAGTGTTCACAGGAAGTCTTGGTCGGCAGCCAGGGACCCTCCAGTGCTGGCGAAGGTTCCTCATCAGGTGACGCAAGCTCTCCCTGCTCGGCGCAGCACGTTTCTCTGCACGGAACGTGGCGGCATGCGGTAGAATTGAAAGACGCGACACAATTTGCCACAAAGTGATACGCAGTCTTCTTGGTTCTTTCGGTAAAGTCGTCACGTAGAAGAGAAGTAATAAAATAATAAAAATAAAACACGATAAAATACAATTCTCACGACGTTTCGGCCACAACGCAAGCAGCCGTCCTCAGGTGAAGAACAGGTCTGTCAGACGCTGTCTTTCCGACAGACCTGTTCTCCACCTGAAGACGGCTGCTTGCGTTGTGGCCGAAACGTCGTGAGAATTATTTTATGATGTTTTATTATTTTATTACTTCCCTTCTACGTGATGACTTTACCGAAAGAACCAAGAGGATGAATTCAATATTACTCGTATATGTGTTGAGGTGTAAATGGTTTTATTGCGAATGCTCATCCACTGGTTGCAGGCGTTGTACAGGATGTTGTGACGGGTGAAGCGAGTGGATCCAATGGTCCCCCACGGCCACCGGACGGAGACAACCCACGGGCCCGGCTTGGAACCCTGCCGGACAGCGGCAAGCCTGGCAACGCTCTTTACAAGTAAGTGCCCTTTAGGTGCATCATCGTCACCACCTTTAAACATCGTCGTCATTTTTTTATTTAAAGCTTTCGTGACTGCAGGGATTCATCTTCTTGGTTCTTTCGGTAAAGTCACCACGTAGAAGGGAAGTAATAAAATAATAAAAATAAAACATAATAATATAATATAATAAAATAAAATAATATAATAATGTTGCTTCCCTTCTACGTGACTTGACCGAAAGAACCAAGAAGATCGTCATCATTCACGCTCTGAAAAAAATTACAAATAAATGAAAGGGATTCTTTGCTGAAATAACCTTTTCTACTCTATGAGACATCTCTTTTAGCAGTGGCAAAATATAGTAGTAGGTTTTTACCCTTTTAAACTAGTACAAAACTGACACCTTTACACAAGGCATCATGTTTGCAATAACCACAACACAAGTAGTCAAAAAACAAACAAAAAGAAGCAAAAAGTACTTTTCGTGCTTCTTGTATTTGGTATTAACATTTTGGAGCCTTGTGTTGTTTTTTTTTGTGTCTCAAGCTTCCTGAAACAAATAGACTGCTTGGAGTTTTTGGAGAATTTCACTTCGCGTGGATTGTCGAGTGTCCAACAGCTGATGAACGTTACTCTACAGGCAAGTTCCTACGGACGCTTCCATGAAAACTACGTGTGTTTTTTAACGAATACAGGATTGGGATTTATTTTTAAGTTTTTCTGAAACATAAAAAATGCACAAAGAAGCTTGGAGAAGATGGAAGGTTGGAATTAAACTTGTAAAGAGTTAATGCGTGTGTAGGTGAGGGTGAGTGGTGAGGGTGAGTGGTGAGCGTGAGTGGTGAGGTAGAGGGGTGAGTGGTGAGGGAGAGGGGTGAGCATGAGTGCTGAGTGGTGAGTGGTGAGGGTGAGTGGTGAGGGTGAGTGGTGAGTAGTGAGGATTGTAGAGCCACAAGAGGGGGCTCTGGGACCCTAGGCAGAGAAGCCCTTGGCGCCAGGCGCTAGGATCCTAGGCACCCCAGACAGCTAAGCCCCTTGGCGCCAGGCGCTAGGATCCCAGGCACCCCAGACAGTTAAGCCCCTTGGCGCCAGGCGCTAGGATCCCAGGCACCCCAGACAGTTAAGCCCCTTGGCGCCAGGCGCTGGGATCCCAGGCACCCCAGACAGTTAAGCCCCTTGGCGCCAGGCGCTAGGATCCCAGGCACCCCAGACGCTTAAGCCCCTTGGTGCCACCAACGGGGGGGCTGTGTGTGCTCTGTGGGATATCTGGGGGCGCACACAACCCCACCCCTCGTTGGGCACGAGGCATAAAAGGGCAGCTCCCTGGCCGATCGGGGCCAGTCGCAGGTCAAGACCTGCCAGCCAGCCAGCTTAGGACCCTGGACCCCCTTGTCCCGCTTGTCCTTGTAAGGGCCGGGACGCTGTGAGGGCCAGTGGTGGGACTCTGGGACTCCCGGCTCTACGTCCTTGTGAGGGCGAGTTCCGAGGAAGCCAGAGTCCAGACCCGCACCTTGGCTGGGTCGGGTCAGGTAGCCTCCCCTAGGGGGATTGTAGCCGGAGGACCCCAGAGCGTAGCCAGAGTAGTGTACCTAGGCAATGTACCTAGGCTGTGTACGTAGGCTGTGTACCTAGGCTGTGTACCTAGGCCGTGTACCTAGGCTGTAACAGAGTATCAGGACTGTTGGAGTGTTGTATTGTAATAAAGAAGTTACCTCTACAAGTCTCTCCGGAACCCATTACACGTGGATACCGAAACATGCAAATAAGAAACATTGACAACTGCAAAAAAGTAGATGGGCTTGGGCAAGGGCACATCACTGGACTGCATTGTGGCTGGGAAACAAGACCGGTGTTGGAGTGGCATCCAAAGTAGAGCACACATCACCAAGAGGAGGACCACCACAGAGATTCGAGTTGTGAGATTAGTTTGTGTGTAGGTGATAGATGGATCGTCACATAGCTCGAGTGAGGAGGCTGAGGAGTCCTGATCCAGTAGTGGGTACAAAAAAAACACATTCCTCCTGCGGAGAGAGCGGGTAGGAACGTTGGGTTGCTCGGTCAATGGCCAACTGTGAGGGCGGGCACAAGCCGTCGTGAGTAGGTTAAACGTTGAGTTTTATAAGGGCACCACGGGGTGACCAGCCCCTCCCCACCCAGCCCCACCCCCCACCCAGCCCCACCCCTCCCCACCCTCCCCTCCCCACCCAGCCCCACCCCTCCCCACCCAGCCCCTCCCCACCCTCCCCACCCAGCCCCTCCCCACCCTCCCCTCCCCACCCAGCCCCTCCCCACCCTCCCCTCCCCACCCAGCCCCTCCCCACCCTCCCCTCCCCACCCAGCCCCTCCCCACCCTCCCCTCCACCCAGCCCCACCCCTCCCATTTTTGGATGCACGACGGACAGACACAATAATCCCCTGTGGGCTGGTGGAACCAGGTGGTTCCTACCGGTAATACCGACTGATTTTGTACATTAATTACTCTGAGGAATACACGTCGTCAGAAATTTGAAGAATGTTGTATCGTACACTATGGGAACCTCATTTGCCAGTAAAAATATCATAATTGTTTTTTTACCCTTCTATCTGGCAACAAAACTGACACCTTTTTACAAGGAGTCATGTTTGTATAGACCGCAATACCTGTCTCGGGTGTGGACCAATCAACTTCAGGGACAGTGCACATTATCAGAGTTGTGTTTTTTGTTTGTATTATGACTGCAGGTATTGTGGTCTATACAAACATGACTCCTTGTAAAAAGGTATCAGTTTTGTTGCCAGATAGAAGGGTAAAAAACCAATTATCAATGTTGTATCGCTGAACAAAATTTGGTGTGTGTGTGTGTATATTTTCTGTGTTTCGCTGGATTTTAGGACTTGGATGAACTGAGAGTCCCAGAAGCCAAAAAGCGACTGCTGCTGAGTGGAATCGAAGAGCATCATCGTGTGTCGACCACGATCTCCAGCGAGACAACGCTGCAGCGCTCGTCCAGTGAAGAGACAGTCCACCTCAGCTCCGAGGACGACGACGATGACGGCATCGACACCAAGGACGGCATCCGTGCCAAAGTGTTCCCAGCGCTGCGGCCCTCTGGCAGGAATCTGTCCTCTGTCGGCAATCGGTATCGCAAAAGCAGCATTGCCAAATACAATTTGCGAGCGTACGCTCGCCAAGCCGTTGACTTTCCTCGTGCTGGCAGCTGGGGAGGCAGTAGCAGCCTGGAGGTGCCCAGGAGCAAGATGCCAAAATTGTCTTCATGCTCTGACATCGAAGAAGAGGAGGGGCTGGAGTGAGGAGAGGAGGGGGGTGATAAATGGATGATGGTGGGAGGTTGTGTGGGCCGTGGGATGCACTTTGTATGAAAAGCCCTTGGGGTAAATAAGCTGGTGTCTTTCGATTTAAAGCTTTCGTGACTGCAGGGATTCATCTTCTTGGTTTATTCAGTAAAGTCACGGTCGACAGACCTGTTCTCCACCTGAGGATGGCTGCTTGCGTTGTGGCCGAAACGTCGTGAGAATTATTTTATTATGTTTTATTTTTATTATTTTATTATTTTCCTTCTACGTGACTTTACCGAAAGAACCAAGAAGATAAGCTGGTGTCGTTTCACTCGCAGTTTCGATAACTTCCTTTGAGCTTCTTCTTATTTCTTTCGGTAAAGTCACGTAGAAGGAAAATAATAAAATAATAACAATAAAACATCATAAAATAATTCTCACGACGTTTCGGCCACAACGCAAGCAGCCGTCCTCAAGTGAAGAACAGGTCTGTCGAGAAGACAGTCTGTTTTTATTTATTTATTATTATTTTATTTCCATTCTACGTGACTTTACCGAAATAACCAAGAAGATGAATCCCTGCAGTCACGAAAGCTTTAAATCGAAATTCATTTGAGCTTGCTTGCATAGTTTTTTTTTTTACAGAATGCAGTCAATAAAATATAAAGCAGCATCTTGGCTTTACTACCCAAGGCAGGAACTTGTCTCTTCCAAGAAAGAAGTGAATGACTTGTCAGTTTTGTTACTTCTTAATTTTGGAGCTTTCGTGACTGCAGGAATTATTCTTTGTTTTTTTTCGGTAAAGTCACGTATAAAGATTAAACGTGCCGTTTAAGTCATCTGGAGTTGAAATATACAACACGTTTTGTTTCCGTGCAGAGGAGATAGCCATGTTCAGAGCAATGTGCTTTTTTGTTGCGTTGCATTTGCTCGACTGTTGAAAGATCGTTTCAAATTTGCATCTATTGGAAGGATGAACACGAAGTGGGAAGGTTTTTGCAAAATCTGATGTTCTCATACTCCAGAAGATTGTTGTATGGGGCCTGTCTGCTCTCACCTACTTGATAAAAACCCCAAAAAATGCCTAAATAAAGTTGATTTGTGACATGTTCCATTCTGCAAAGTTTTATAGACTTTGCTGCTGGTAGCAGATGTAGAGAAAACAACACCTGTCTACACTTCGTGTTCATGGAACTGTCTTAAGCGTATATATGCAGTGGGGTTTTTTAAATCCTTTATATTAAGTTCACTTGCTTGCTTGCTTAGGACCGTGCAAATCTTTCGGTCATTTTTTAACCCACTTCCCGTCATCCAATCGAGCTGACATTTTGCACACAGACTCGTTGTGCGTGACAATTTATTTTCGTGAAAATGTTTTTCCTAAATTTGACACTGTTTAGGGAATTTTTTAAATATTTAATTAGCAATTGCTTAATGGTGGCAGGCAATCATCTGACCCATAGGTGGCAGCCATCTCAAGCCAGAGGACGAGAGGACTCTAGCCGCCACGCATATAAAGGATTTAGAGTGAAAAACTTTGTTTTTACGGGTTAAATTTTTGTTACAGGTAGGAACAACAGTTCCCTACTGCCCACCAGGGATTATTTGTCTGTCGTGCATAGCCCCTCCCACCGTGTAGCACGCTCCCGGATTGGTTGAAGTGCGTCACGTGACCGCGAGCTTTCTGCCCAACCAAGTTCCTAGCTGGCCACTGTGAAGGAACGTGATTGTGCTGTGGATTCAGAAACCCGAGTTCGAGGGTGACATCCAATCTGCTGATTGTTTGGGCGCTGACCACTGGTGAAGTACCCGTCTGGTCACTGCCTTCATCTTGGAGTGGATTGAACAAGGGCTGTTGATATTCTTGAGCTTTGATTAAAAGCCAAAAACCTTTAAAGTACAATTTCAGGAATTGTTTTTCTGGATAAACCACTCGGAAAAAATATATCCAATGTTTGAGTTTGCATACGGAGCCCAAAACCAACCTGTACGTTTTGCAATGTGCTTTATATTTTGTAGCAATCACTGCCTTTCATGTAAACTGGTACCAGGTGCATACAGCGCATGAGAACGTTCAATTCGAATGCGCAATTCCCTGGAATAGCCACAGTGTTGATTTGTTTAAACAAGTTTTGACAATAAAAACAACTCTCTTTGAACTGTTAGCACGATCTTTTCTGACGGTGTTTTTTAATATACATGTCTCGTTAAACCACCCCGTCACCGCCCGCCAATTAGCAAGGTTTGTCACGTAAACAAAGCGTGCCAATTCGTTATAAGCTCAGCACACCTGTGCTGCACCCGAAACGTCATTTCATTTCGCTGTTTTCATTTCTAATTTGTTTCACCCACGTGACTTTCACAACTAGAATTACAAGCGCACAACCTTCATCCGTGATGGACGCCGCACTGTCCATCGTTTTCATGCACGGGGCGCTTCAAACCTCCAAGTCAGAGGTCGCAACCGGGTACCCGATACCCGTACCCTACCCGATACATGGCTACCCGTACCCGGCCGGGTACGGGTAGGCGTTTACGACCCTGGTGCGGCCGGGTACGGGTAACCGTGAGTCACTGGTGAGTAGCCGTTTGTCACTCATTTCGGGTAGGGTACGGGTAGGGAACGGGTACCCGTACCCAGCTGGGTACGTGTACCCATTTGCGACCCTGGTGCGGCCGGGTACGGGTAGGCCGTGAGTCACTGGTGAGTCACCGTTTGTCACTCATTTCCCAACGTCTTGTCTCTTCTCCCAATTCAAGTTCCTAGAATCAACCCACCCGCGCAACATGGCTTCATCCCAGAGGTTGCAAACGGGTACCCGATACCCCTATCCGATACCCGGCCGGGTACGGGTAGCCGGGTATCAGGTAGGGTACGGGTACCCGTTTTCGACCCTGGTGCGGTCGGGTACGGGAAGGACGTGAGTCACTGGTGAGTCACCGTTTGTCACTAATTTCCCAACGTCTTGTCTCTTCTCACAATTCAAGTTTCTAGAAACAACCCACCCGCGCCTGCAACATGGCTTCATCCCAGAGGTCGCAACCGGGTACCCGATACCCGTACCCTACCCGATACCCGGCTACCCGTACCCAGCCGTTTTCAACCCTGGTGCGGCCGGGTACGGGTAAGGAATCAAACCCCGTGTGTGACCTCTGCTCCACGCGCCGCCTGCACGGACAACGGAGGCGCAGGGACAGACACTCGACCGTGAAATCGATCCGCAATCTTGTCGCACGGCCAGCAGCTCGGTGTTGCCTTCTCTCGATCCCGCGATGCCAAGCAGGTGACAGTCCGCGGCGAAATGAACCCCCCAGCAAAGTCATCTACTTAACGACGAGAGGAAATTCACACGGAATGTCCTTTTCAACGAAGTCTTCCAGATGTAAAACGATATAAGCTTTTAATGAAGAAATACAATTCAAAACACAACACAATTCAAAGATGTTTCATTTTAAAACTTCAAAACGGAGCATCGGGTGCTTGCGTGAATGCAAAATTATAATTCGTGTTGTAGAGAATGTATCTCCTCTACGTGCAACTTTAAAGTGGTATGCCTTGTAACTGATGAATGATCTCGCCTGAGTGATCTGTACAGGTTACTTCCAGACACACACACTTTGTCCTAACATCACTTAATCACTCTAGATTTGAACACTTCATGTTTGACCCTCACAGACAAACTGTTACATGTACACGCACAATCAGACAAGTATTCATTCTAAATTATTGACAGGCATATTAACAAAATTGAATTACTGCAGCGAAACATACTGCATCAGGTAACAACGTATTAACAAGAAGCTATTTTAACACATACTATTGTGTCATTCAAAACGAGTAGTCCATTGCATGCTGGCGTCTGGGTGAAAACGTAGCAAATTGTAAACATTACCTACAAATAATAGATCACGAGGTTTCGATCGCAACGCAAGCAATCGCCATCAGCTGGGACCACGTCAATAACTGCTGAAGTAGGCGTCTACCTCAGTTGGTGATGATGGTGGTGGTGAAAGTGGTGATGGTGGTGGTGATGGTGAAAGTGGTGATGGTGGTGGTGATGATGATGGTGGTTGTCACACCTGATGACAATCGCTTGCGTTGCGATCGAAACGCCGCGATCTATAATTTTTCGACCCACGTGACGTCACCAAAAGAACTAAAGGGTGTGGATTCCTGCAGTCACGAAAGCTTCAAGTCAAGATCACCTACTAACGACACAGCTGAGATTACACATCAATCATCGTGTGCCACACAGGGGCAGCTGCTACTTGCAGATGCTCTTCGAGTGTTTCAGACAAGCGCCATGTAACAGCAATTATGATGAGAACATCGTGAATGCTTGGGGGCTGATTGGCTCTCGCTCCTGGTGAGAGATTGACCCAACCCACAGGTCCACTAAGACTGGCCACTTGTCTTCTTGCTTCTTTCGGTAAAGTCGTCACGTAGAAGGGAAGTAATAAAATAATAAAACACAATAAAACAATTCTCACGACGTTTCGGCCACAACGCAAGCAGCCATCCTCAGGTGAAAACCAGGTCTGTCGAGGCGACAGCGTCTGAATGAAACAGCACACGCGCTTGGAGCATATATATAAGCTGGGCGCCTTGACAAAAGAATTTGCATATCAAGAGGCATTTAGCATATTTATGAGAAATGCAGGTATGTGATTAGTACTACTTATGCCCGTGCATTATGCAGAATTAGCAGCATCAAAGGAAGGGGATAGGGGTAGCATTAACAAAGGGAAGGAGTGTTAATAGTATGTAGTTGCAGTAACTGGCCACTCGCTCTTACCCTGCAGGTTGAACCTAGGAACTGAGTGTTCAACTTCACGTTATTGTCATTAAAGGCCTGTGAGAAAGGAGCATCTAATGCAGCGACATCGTCTCACGCTTACTCATCTACCGGGTCTCAATTTGACTTTGTGTTGTCTTGGAAGTCCAGCCACACCTCCACAAACTGCTGGGAGTTTCGATTTAAAGCTTTCGTGACTGCAGGGATTCATCTTCTTGGTTCTTTCACCTGAGGACAGCTGCTTGCGTTGTGGCCGAAACGTCGTGAGAATTATTTGATCATGTTTTATTTGTATTATTGTATTACTTCCCTTCTACGTGACTTTACCGAAAGAACCAAGAAGATGCTTGGAGTTGCCTCACTCTGCCTCAGTCAGAATTCTCCTCCTGCTTCACGTTGCCTCCATCGATGTGAAGGTCCCATTCTGGAGTTGAATCTTCATCTTCACATTTTACCATCACTTCTTCGCTCTTCACCTTCACCTCTTCATATTTCACCTTCACCTCTTCATATTTCACCTCATTACCTTTAAAAGTGTCCAAGCTGGGATTTTCTTCCGGTTCTTGTTTCACGAGGGATGGGCTCATTGCGGCACTTTGACTTTCACAAGCTAATTTCAGACTCCACTCCTTGTGGATATTCTGATGCGTCTGTGTTCTCTGGTGGACTTGAAGATGTTCTGACTGTGTAAACGCCTTCCCGCACGGAATGCACTTGAAGGGTTTCTCTCCCGTGTGTGTTCTCTGGTGTTTTATCAGAGAAGATGGCTGTGAAAATGCCTTCCCACACACACTGCACTTGAAGGGTTTCTCTCCCGTGTGTGTTCTCTTGTGTGTTTTAATAGCAAATGACCGTGAAAACGCCTTCCCACACACACTGCACTTGAAGGGTTTCTCTCCCGTGTGTGTTCTCTTGTGTGTTTTAATAGCAAATGACCGTGAAAACGCCTTCCCACACACACTGCACTTGAAGGGTTTCTCTCCCGTGTGTGTTCTCTGGTGTTTTTTAAGATTTGATGACTGTGTAAATGCCTTCCCACACACACTGCACTTGAAGGGTTTCTCTCCCGTGTGTGTTCTCTGGTGTTTTTTAAGAGAAGATGACCGTGAAAATGCCTTCCCACACACAGTGCACTTGAAGGGTTTCTCTCCCGTGTGTGTTCTCTGGTGTTTTATAAGAGAAGATGACTGTGAAAATGCCTTCCCACACACACTGCACTTGAAGGGTTTCTCTCCCGTGTGTGTTCTCTGGTGTGCTTGAAGATGTGGTGATTGTGCAAACGCCTTCCCACACACACTGCACTTGAAGGGTTTCTCTCCCGTGTGTGTTCTCTTGTGTGTTTTAATAGCAAATGACCGTGAAAACGCCTTCCCACACACACTGCACTTGAAGGGTTTCTCTCCTGTGTGTGTTCTCTGGTGGATCTGAAGAACTGATGGCCATGCAAATGCCTTCCCACACACAGTGCACTTGAAGGGTTTCTCTCCTGTGTGTGTTCTCTGGTGCTGTGTCAAATTTACAGTCCGCTCCGTGCTGTATCCACGCTGGTCGCATTGTTGCCTTTCCGTACCGAGCTGTGCTGAGCGCCTTTGCTCCATCAGACCAAGCGACAGCTGCAGACATAAAAAAAGAAAATCCACACCATCTACACGTCAGACACAGCGGAATGCATATATACACAGTCACACGTGACTTACACGTCTATACTTATTCATATATTCATGATGTAGTGAAAAAGTTTCCCAAATTCATCACACGTGTTTTTATGGCACACAATGAGAGGGCAAATAGTCATAAATCTGAATGTGAACCCAAAATTCCGAGCACACAAGTTCGGCTGTCTGGCTACAAAAGGAATATTTCTGAGAGCAAAATTCAGCTGACATCGCAAAGGGTGTTGAAACCAACACTGTTTGTGTTATGCAGAAATGCGTTAATTAATGTTCAATCGTAACTCAGAGGTGTGAACCCAGGCTGAGATGTCCTTAAATGCTGGGGATGAACAGATCCGACTTCTGCTGCTGCACGTGTGTGCTGTGTTAACTTCCTGTTTCCATTTCAACCCACAGAGATACATCGAGATGAGTAAAGACCCATGGAGATTAATAGAAACCCATAGAGACCCACAGAGTCACACAGAGACCCATAGAGATACATCGAGATGAATAGAGACCTATGGAGATGAATAGAAACCCATAGAGACCCATAGAGATACATAGAGACCCACAGAGTCACACAGAGACACATAGAGACCCATAGAGATACATCGAGATGAATAGAGACCCATGGAGATTAATAGAAACCCATGGAGATTAATAGAGACCCACAGAGACACATAGAGACCCATAGAGATACAGCGAGATGAATAGAGACCCATGGAGATTAATAGAGACCCACAGAGTCACATAGAAACCCACAGATACACATAAAGACCCACAGAGACACATGTTGAGACCCATAGACTAAACTGAAATTTAACTTTTGATTTAAAGCTTTCGTGACTGCAGGGATTCATCTTCTTGGTTCTTTAGGTAAAGTCACGTAGAAGGGAAATAATAAAATAAAACTAATACAATATTTTATATTATTATGTTTTATTTGTATTATTTTGTTATTTCCCTTCTACGTGGCTTTACCAAAAGAACCAAGAAGATGAATCCCTGCAGTCACGAAAGCTTTACATTGAAATATAATATTATATGACCATATTATTTAAATATTTTAGTATATTGTTATATTATTTTAGTATGTTTTATTTGTATTATTTGTATTATTTCCCTTCTACGTGACTTTACCGAAAGAAGCAAGAAGATATAATATTGTTTTGACATAACGTGCGTGTTCAACAGAGTGAATAGACTTCACACTGGCACACACACACACAGTCACAGTGCCATGGTCAACAGCAGCAGGGCTTGTCCCCTCCACATTTAGAATCAACATCAGCACGCGCTCAGCGTGTTTGACAGACATTGACACACGTAGTCTTGGTTCTTTCGGTAAAGTCACGTAGATAGCAAATACAATTAACAGATAATTAAATTAAAGAAAGACCACCTGTGTTGCGGTCAAAACGTCGTGGGTTTTTTTGCTTTAATTTCAATTTTTTATTTAATTTAATATCTTTATCTGTTAGTTTATTTTCTATCTCCGTGACTTTACGAATATGAATTGCTGCAGTTACGAAAGTTTTAAGTCAAAACATTGAGACACACGCGTTGACAAAACCTCCACCCACCCACCTTGTTGTTGTTGTGGGCAGGTAGCTTCTGTAAACAAGAGCGGTACAGCAGCTCAAGCGGGCTTGGGCTGTAAAAAAACGAAAAAAAAAACTGCGTAAATATCTACAATAAACCAAAGTGACAAAGTGACAAAGTAGCGAGCCGCGTGAAGACAAATTAAACTTAAGCGAGAGAATTAAAGCAAACGCGACCAGGCGAGGGCAGGAGGCAAGGCCCCGCGTGTCTAGGCCCCGCGTTGTAAAGTTCCAACTTGGACATCGATTCACAAGCTGCTGCTGCTCTATTGACATCCCTACGAGAGAGAGAGAGCGAGGCTCTACCTTGGTAAACAACAACAACCACAACAACAACAACAACCACAACCACCACGACGATGAGAATTTCTCACCTCGGATTTCACTGCACGCGCGGGGCGACAGCTTCCTGTTACCTCGTGACGTCACGCGGTAGTAGGTGACATGACGTCACTTCCTGGGCACGAGACACGCCCCTCCCACAACGAGCGGCTCTGTAACTAAATATGAATAAATTATGTTAATGACACCGTTGCAATAACCTCGTGACGGCTTTAACGAACTCTTTATGTTAATGAGCCGCCAGTCACTGGGCGTGGCTTTGCCCAAATAAGGATTGGCAATTGGAACGACATCTGCAGTGACCGAGGCGGAGGTGACGTCACGTTCAAGAGCGCGGTGGACGGGGGGGAGGGGGGTGACATCCTTGGTGACATGACGTCACTAGCGAGGTACACCTCCCCTGGCGTTTCACGCGGATGACGTAATGCTGAGTGGTGACGTCACAGAGCGGGGTTGGAGTTTAAGTTGATTTAGATCCATTTTCCATTGCTCCATCTCTTGAATCGAGACCCCTTGGGTGTGTGTACACTGTGTGTGTGTGTGTACACTGTGTGTGTGTGTGTACACTGTGTGTGTAGACTGTGTGTGTACACTGTGTGTGTGTGTACACTGTGTGTGTGTGTATACTGTGTGTGTACACAGTGTGTGTGTGTACACTGTGGGTGTGTGTACACTGCGTGTGTGTACACTGTGCGTGTGTGTACACTGTGTGTGCACTGTGCGTGTGTGTACACTGTGTGTGTACACTGTGTGTGTGTGTACACTGTGTGTGTGTACACTGTGTGTACAGTGTGTGTACACTGTGTGTGTACACTGTGTGTGCATTGTGTACATACAGTGTGTTACATGTACGCACACAATCAGACAAGTATTCATTCTAAATTATTGACAGGCATATGCACAAAATTGAATAACTGCAGTGAAATATACTGCATCAGATAACATCTTATTCTCTGGTTCTTTCAGTAAAGTCTCGTAGAACGAAATTTTATAGAATACGACGTTTCGATTGGAACACAAGCAACCATCGTCAGGTACAACAAGTGAATTAGAAAACAAACAGTGAACTTAGAAATATAATGCAACACAACACAAGAGTCAGCCAACACAAGTCAACACCCTACCTGGTTGATTACGTTCTTCCAAAATTGAATAATTTAGTTTAGATAACATCTTATTAACAAGGAGCTATTTAAAGAATGCACCCTCTACTGAACAGTGGATGTGAAACACACAATTGTACAATTCAAAACGAGTAGGCCTTTGCAAGTTGGCGACTGGGTCAAAAATGTAGCAAATTCTAAACATTACCGACAAACTCCACAACTGAGATTACACATCAACCATCGCCCCCTACTGACAGGCTCTTGTCCACACGCAGGCCGGTGCAGGGCCACCACCGTGTGCCACACAGGGGCAGCTGCCACTTGGGGTGCTCTTAGAATGTTTGAGACGAGGTACGATACAAAACTCAGAGTTGCTGAGCGGATTAAGCACCATGTAAAAGCAATTATAACATCGTGAATGCTTGGGAGCTTATTGGCTCTCTGCTGGTCAGAGATCAACCCAACACACAGGTCCACAAAGACTGGCCACCCTTACCCTGCAGGTTGAACCTAGGAACTGAGTGTTCAACTTCACATTCTTGTCATTAAAGGCCTGTGACAAAGGTGCATCTATTGGAGCGACATCGTCTCTGGCTTACACATCTACCGGGTCTCCATTTGACTTTGTATTGTCTCGGAGGCCACCCACACCTCCACTTCCACAAACTGCTGGGAGTTGCCTCGCTCTGCCTCACAGTCAGAATTCTCCTCCTGCTTCACGTTGCCTCCATCGATGTGAAGGTCACATTTTGGAGTTGAATCTTCATCTTCACATTTTACCTTCACTTCTTTGCTCTTCACCATCACTTCTTCACATTTCACCTTCACCTCTTCACATTTCACCTCGATACCTTTCAAAGTGTCCAAGCTGGGATTGTCGTCCGGTTCTTGTTTGATGAGGGATGGGCTCATTGCAGAACTTTGACTTTCACAAGCTGATTTCAGACTCCACTCCTGGTGGATCTTCTGATGCTTGTGTGTTCTCTGGTGTACATGAAGATGTGCTGACTGTGCAAACGCTATCCCACACACACTGCACTTGAAGGGTTTCTCTCCCGTGTGTGTTCTCTGGTGTTCTACAAGAGCAGATGACTGTGCAAACGCCTTCCCACACACACTGCACTTGACGGGGTTCACTCCCGTGTGAGTTCTCTTGTGTTTTACAAGAGTAGATGAATTTGAAAACGCCTTCCCACACACACTGCACTTGAAGGGTTTCTCTCCCGTGTGTGTTCTCTTGTGTTTTACAAGAGTAGATGAATCTGAAAACGTCTTCCCACACACACTGCACTTGAAGGGTTTCTCTCCCGTGTGTGTTCTCTGGTGTGTTACAAGAGTAGATGACTTTGCAAACGTCTTCCCACACACACTGCACTTGAAGGGTTTCTCTCCCGTGTGTGTTCTCTGGTGTTTTACAAGAGTAGATGAAAGTGCAAACGCCTTCCCACACACACTGCACTTGTAGGGTTTCTCTCCCGTGTGTGTTCTCTGGTGTGCTACAAGAGTAGATGACTTTGCAAACGTCTTCCCACACACACTGCACTTGAAGGGTTTCTTTCCCGTGTGTGTTCTCTGGTGTGCTACAAGAGTAGATGAAAGTGTAAACGCCTTCCCACACACACTGCACTTGAAGGGTTTCTCTCCCGTGTGTGTTCTCTGGTGTTTTACAAGAGTAGATGAAAGTGAAAACGCCTTCCCACACACACTGCACTTGAAGGATTTCTCTCCCGTGTGTGTTCTCTGGTGTGCTACAAGAGTAGATGACTTTGCAAACGTCTTCCCACACACACTGCACTTGAAGGGTTTCTTTCCCGTGTGTGTTCTCTGGTGTGCTACAAGAGTAGATGACTGTGCAAACGCCTTCCCACACACACTGCACTTGAAGGGTTTCTCTCCCGTGTGTGTTCTCTGGTGTGTTACAAGAGTAGATGACTTTGCAAACGTCTTCCCACACACACTGCACTTGAAGGGTTTCTTTCCCGTGTGTGTTCTCTGGTGTGTTACAAGAGTAGATGACTGTGCAAACGCCTTCCCACACACACTGCACTTGAAGGGTTTCTCTCCTGTGTGAGTTCTCTGGTGCCGTGTCAAATTTGCAGGACGATCCGTGCTGTATGCACACCGGTCGCATTGATGCCTTGTCGCACCGAGCTGCGCCGAGTGCCTTTGCTCCATCAGACCAATTCTGCAGAGGAAGCGACAGCTGCAGACAGAAAAAGAATATCCACACCATCTACACGTCAGTATCGAGACACAGCGGAATGCATATATACACAGTCACACGTGACTTACACGTCTATACTTATTCATATATTCATGATGTAGTGAAACAGTTTCCCAAATTCATCACACAGGCTGTTATTGCACACAATGAGAGGGTGAATGGTCATAAATATGCCTGGAAGCCCTCGTATCTTCAAAATGAATGTGAACCCAAAACTCCGAGCACACAATTTCGGCTGTCTGGCTACAAAATAAAAATGTATAAGAACTAAATTCAGCTGACATAGCAAAGGGTGTTGAAAACAATCCTATTTGTGTTATGCAGAAATGCGTAAATTAATACTGGTAGGAACCTCCTGGTTACACCAGCCCACAGGGGATTATTGTGTCCGTCGTGAAGGGAGGGGCTGGGTGGGGAGGGTGGAGAGGGGCTGGGTGGGGCTGGGTGGTGGGTGGGAGGGGTGGGACTGGGTGGGGAGGGGCTGGTCACCCCGTGGTGCCCTTATAAAACTCAACGTTTAACCTACTCACGCCGGCTTGTGCCCGCCCTCACAGTCGGGCATATTTGCGGAATACACCACGCCGCCGTTGACCCTGCAGGCCATTGAGCGAGCAACCCGACGTTCCTAGCAGCTCCCTCCGCAGCAGGAATGTTGTTCAGTGGCAACTTAGCGGTATGAAGCCAGGCTCAGATGTCCTTGAATGATGGGATGAACAGATCTGACGTCAGCTGCTGCACGTGTGTGTGCTGTGCTAACTTCCTGTTTCCACTCTTATAAAGAGTTCCAGAGGAAAACTAAAATAAACTATTGTTTTGATATCACCTCCGTGTTCATCAGAGTTAATATACTTTACATTGTCACACACCATCTTTACACTGTCACACACTGATAGACTTTACTGCAAACACAAACTTGATACTGTCACAGAGTTGATAGACTTCACTGCAAACACAAACTCAACACTGTCACACAGAGTTGATAGACTTTACTGCAAACACAAACTTGACACTGTCACACACAGTGCCATGGTAAACCGGTGGTGGTGTGGAGTTTACACCAGACACCCCGCCCCGGTTTTCCCCTCCACATTCAACATCAGCGTCTTTGACAGACAGACATTGACACGCGTAGTCTTGGTTCTTTCGGTAAAGTCACGTAGATAGGAAATAAAAATAACAGATCATGAAATTAAATTAAAAAAAGACCACTTGTGTTGCGATCGAAACGTGGTGGGTTTATTCTTTATTTGCAATTTTTTTTATTTTATTTAACATTATTATCTGTTATTCTTTTTAATCTCCGTGACTTTACCGAAAGAACCAAGAATATGAATTGCTGCAATTACTAAAGTTTTAAGTCAAAACACCGAGACACGCGTTGACAAAACCCACCTTGTGTCGTGGGCAGGTAGCTTCTGTAAACAAGAGCGGTACAGCAGCTCAAGCGGGCTTGGGCTGGTAAAAAAACGAAAAAAAAAACTGCGTTAATATCTACAATAAACCAAAGTGACAAAGTAGCGAGCCGCGTGAAGACAAATTAAACTTAAGGGAGGGAATTAAAGCAAACGCGACCAGGCGAGGGCAGGAGGCAAGGCCCCGCGTGTCTAGGCCCCGCGTTGTAAAGTTCCAACTTGGACATCGATTCACAAGCTGCTGCTGCTCTATTGACATCCCTACGAGAGAGAGAGCGAGGCTCTAGCTTGGTAAACAACAACAACCACAACAACAACCACAACAACAACCACAACAACCACAACCACCACGACGATGAGAATTTCTCACCTCGGATTGCAGTTCACGCGCGGACCTCCAGCTTCCTGTTAGCTCGTGACGTCACGCGGCAGCAGATGACGTCACGCGGCAGCAGATGACATGACGTCACGCGGCAGCAGATGACATGACGTCGCTTTCTGGGGTACAAGACCCTCCCCTCCCACAATGAGAGGCTACCCTAACTGAATAAATTAATAAATTATGTTGATGTTTGCGATCATCAACATTATCAATAAACATCATTTACACCATCATATACAACAATATCATCAGCATCATCATCAGCATCAACAACAACATCATCAGCAACATCATCACCACCCCTAGCATCAGCAGAAATATCAACATCATCATCAGCAACAGCAACAACAACATCAGCAGCATCAACAACAACAACAACATCATCAGCATCAACAACATCAGCAACACCGTCACCATCTAGAACAGAGGGGAGGGAAGACTGCGGCCTAGTCGGCCTCGGGCCATCCCGAGTTTTCCTAGCGGACCCGCCGCGCCCGGAGCGCCTCCCCCGGCAGGAGTCGGGATCGAATAACGGGTCCGCCGGGCGTGGTGAACACACATACACACAGTGTACACACACACACACAGTGCACACACACAGTGTACACACACACATAGTGCACACACACACACACAGTGCACACACACAGTGTACACACACACAGTGCACACACAAAGTGTACACACACACATTGTACACACACACAGTGTACACACACACAGACAAACACACACAGACACACAGTGTGTACACACACAGTTTACACACAAACACACAGTGTACACACACACAGACACACACACAGAGTGTACACACACACAGTGCACACACAGACACACATACACAGTGTACTCACACACACACAGTGTACACACACACAGTGTACTCACAGACACACAGTGTACACACACACAGTGTACACACACACAGTGGAAACACACACACAGACACACACAGTGTGTGTACACACACACACAGTGTACACACACAGAGTGTACACACACACACAGTGTACACACACAGAGTGTACACACACACAGTGCACACACAGACACATACACAGTGTACACACAGACACACAGTGTACAGACACACATACACAGTGTACACACAAATACACAGTGTACACACAGACACACAGTGGACACACACACACAGACACACACAGTGTACACACATAGTGTACACACACACACAGTGTACACACAGTGTACACACACAGTACACACACACACTGTATACACACACACACACAGACACACACACAGACACACACAGTGTGTACACACACAGACACACAGTGTACACACACACAGACACACACACAGAGTGTACACACACAAACACAGTGCACACACAGACACACATACACAGTGTACACACAGACACACAGTGTACACACACACAGACACACACACACAGACACACACAGTGTACAAACAGACACACACAGTGTACACACACACAGACACACAGACACACACAGTGTACACACAGACACTCCAACACACAACCGGTTAGTGCTGCTCCAGTGACAGATTGGCACGGTATGTCACGTGATAAACCTTGCGAATCGGCTGTCGGCTGATGGCCGGTTTAACGACACGCATACATTCAAACTTTATTTGGAGTTGGAGTTTGTGTCTCTCTCTCATCATCACGGTGGCTAGGAGATGTTAACTACCTCGCCTGGTATGCAGGAGGTCGTGGGTTTGATCCCGATACTGAAGATTCTTGCTGTATATTTGGAGTTTGTGTGTCTCTCTCTCATCATCACGGTGGCTAGGAGATGTTAACTCCCTCGCCTGGTATACAGGAGGTCATGGGTTTGATCTCGATCCTGAAGATTCTTGCTGTATATTTGGAGTTTGTGTGTCTCTCTCATCATCATCACGGTGGCTAGGAGATGTTAACTACCTCGCCTGGTATGCAGGAGGTCGTGGGTTCGATCCCGGCCCTGGCGACGCCAACTGCTGTATATTTGGAGTCTGCGTGTCTCTCTCTCTCTCATCATCATCAGTGAGTGGGTGAGGTGAGTGGGTGGGTGATTGTGTGAGCGAGTGGGTGTGCGGGTGAGTGGGTGGGTGAGTGTGTGAGCGAGTGGGTGTGCGGGTGAGTGGGTGGGTGAGTGTGTGAGGTGAGTGTGTGAGCGAGTGGGTGTGCGGGTGAGTGGGTGGGTGAGTGTGTGAGGTTAGTGTGTGAGAGAGTGAGTGTGTGAGCGAGTGGGTGTGCGGGTGAGTGGGTGGGTGAGTGTGTGAGCGAGTGGGTGTGCGGGTGAGTGGGTGGGTGAGTGTGTGAGGTGAGTGTGTGAGCGAGTGGGTGTGCGGGTGAGTGGGTGGGTGAGTGTGTGAGGTTAGTGTGTGAGAGAGTGAGTGTGTGAGCGAGTGGGTGTGCGGGTGAGTGTGCGGGTGAGTGGGTGGGTGAGTGTGTGAGCGAGTGGGTGTGCGGGTGAGTGGGTGGGTGAGTGTGTGAGCGAGTGGGTGTGCGGGTGAGTGGGTGGGTGTGCGGGTGATGTGAGTGGGTGGGTGAGTGTGTGAGCGAGTGGGTGTGCGGGTGAGTGGGTGGGTGTGTGAGCGAGTGGGTGTGCGGGCGAGTGGGTGGGTGAGTGTGTGAGGTGAGTGTGTGAGCGAGTGGGTGTGCGGGTGAGTGGGTGGGTGAGTGTGTGAGCGAGTGGGTGTGTGAGGTGCGTGGATGGGTCAGTGAGTGGATGAGTGAGGAGGGGTACCAGGTCGTCTACTGGGGGTGAGGGGTCATTATACAGGGCGGTTCAAAGGTCAAGACACAGTTTCTTGGGTTTTTATTTTATTGTGATTTTCCGAGTTTACAAAGGTAGCTCTCTCTCCATCCGTCTCTCCACTCTCTCTTCCTCTCTCCACTGCTGGGCCTGTAGGCTTGGCCCGAGCGAGTTCCCGCCTTTTCACGAGTTGATTCCGCCCCCCGCCGTGGCTTTGTCGGCACGAGGCTTCTGCGCCGGTGAGTGTCAAGGGCTCCAACGGGCCCCAAACCGCTGCCCCGTCGTCACCGCCGCCGTGGACAAAGCGCCGATGCTCGACATCATGAGCTGCGTGGAGAGGGACCTTCTGGACCTCATGTTGCGCACGGGCTACAACGTCGTCCAGGAGAACGGACAGAGGAAGCTGGGACCGCCGCCCGACTGGCAGGGCCCCCCTCCCGCCCGCGGCTGCGAGGTGTTCGTGGCGAGGATCCCGCGCGACCTGTACGAGGACGAGCTGCTTCCCGTGCTGGAGGCGGTGGGGCAGCTGTACCAGCTGCGCCTCATGATGACGTACGACGGAGAGAACCGCGGCTACGCGTTCGCCACCTTCGCGACGCGCTCGCAAGCCGCGGACGCCGTCAAGAGACCCCACGACTTGGAGATCCGCCCGGGGCGACGGATCGCGGTTTGCGTGAGCGTCGACAATCGCCGCCTCTTCTTGGCGAGGCTGCCGAAGGACAAGACGCGGGCCGAGGTGATGGCGGCGATGAGCGACGCCACGGAGGGCGTCGTGGACGTCCAGATGCGCTTCTGTCGCTACGACAGGAGCCTCAGCCGAGGCTACGCGTTCGTCGAATACGAGAGCCACCGCGCGGCCTGCATGGCCCGCAGGGTGCTGCTGCCGTACTCCTTCCGGCTGTGGGGCCGGGACATCAACGTGGACTGGGCCATCCCGCAGCGAGAGCCGGGGGCGGCGGCTGCTGCTGCTGCCGCGGCGGTGGCAACGGAAGACGACGAGGAGGGGGGGGAGGAGGAAGCGGCAACTGAAGACGAGGAGGAAGAGGTGGTGGAGGAGGAGGAGGTGGAAGAGGTGGTGGAGCGGGAGGAGGAGGCAACGGAAGACGAGGAGGAGGGGGGGAGGAGGAGGTGGAGGAGGAGGATGTGGAGGAGGAGGAGGCAACGGAAGACGAGGAGGAGGAGGAGGCGGGGGCAACTGAAGATGAGGAGGAAGAGGTGGTGGAGGAGGAGGAGGTGGAAGAGGTGGTGGAGGAGGAGGAGGAGGAGGTGGGGGAGGAGGGGGAGGAGGAGGAGGGGGAGGAGGAGGCAACGGAAGACGAGGAGGAGGGGGAGGAGGAGGCGGGGGCAACTGAAGATGAGGAGGAAGAGGTGGTGGAGGAGGAGGAGGAGGAGGATGAGGTGGTAGAGGAGGAGGAGGTGGTGGAGGAGGAGGTGGAGGAGGAGGCAATTGAAGACGAGGAGGAGGTGGCGGCGGTCCCAGGCCTCCCGCAGCCGGAGTGCGCCGTCTGCGGCAAGGTCCCGCACAGCCTGTTTGTGGGCTGGGCGGCGCGCACGCAGCTCTGGCGGGCACCCCGCCACTCGCGGCCCACGCCCGTCGGTCTGGACGAGCTGCCGGAGGCGGCCGTCTTGTCGTGGGAGACGCGTTTGCAGGCGCTGCTACGGAGCGCCGGCGTGGGCCACGCGACCTTCGAACTGCACGCTCACTCGGAGCCCGGCAGGCCCATGGGCCTCCTGTACAAGGTCTCCGTTCCCGGGATGATGCGGGAAGGCAGCGGCTTCTTCCCCGCGGTGCTGAGCTCCAGCGTGGAGGGAGCGCGCGAAGTTGCCAGCGAGCTCCTCCACGAAATCCTCAGCGACGCGAACCCGAGGGCGGGCCCGGCCCCCGTCGCGACGGCGCCTCCCGGCCGCCCCGTCCGGGACCTCCCGGCGTATCCCGGCGACTTCCCCGCGCCCCGGCAGCCGGTCGCCGCGCGCCTGCCGACAAGCGGCACGCACCCGTAGTGCCGCGTGGCCGTCGTGGCGGCGTTCGTCAGACCGCGGACGGTGTCCTACCGCTTGAAGCTCACATCCGTTCTGCCGTGTTCACCGTCAAACTGCAAGTTGCCCGGCCGCTCACTCGACATGGTCACGTTGCCGCATGCCAGAGCTCGCAATCGGGTACCCGTACACGTTCCCTACCCGATACCCGGCTACCCGTACCCGGCCGGGTACGGGTAGGGTACAGGTATCGGGTACCCGATTGCGACCTCTGGGATGAAGCCACGTTGCAGGCGCGGGTGGGTTGATTCTAGGAACTTGAATTGTGAGAAGAGACAAGACGTTGGCAAATGAGTGACACACGGTGACTCACCAGTGACTCACGGCTTACCCGTACCCGGCCGGGTACGGGTAGCCGGGTATTGGGTAGGGTACGGGTATCGGGTACGGGTAACCGGGTATCGGGTAGGGTACGGGTAGCCGGGTATCGGGTAGGGTACGGGTATCGGGTAGGGTACGGGTAGCCGGGTATCGGGTAGGGTACGGGTATCGGGTAGGGTACGGGTATCGGGTAGGGTACGGGTAGCCGGGTATCGGGTAGGGTACGGGTATCGGGTACCCGGTTGCGACCTCTGCCGCTCGCTCTCCACTCAGCCGTCCGCCCCTTTCCTGTTTCCCTCGTTGGGGGGGGACCAGCCCTGACTTCACGTTGTGCCTCATTTGACTCGTCACCCCGTGGCCCCGCACACGTCCTCGTCACACCAGGTGTCACCCTGTCATTACACTCTAATGACGACCGACAACTGAATCCGTAAAGACAAAATGATTTCAGGTGTTTTACGCGTCAACGCCATTTTGTTTTGAAAATGTCGGGGAGAAAAAAGTATTTTGTTCACGTCGCATTCTGATGTCAAAACATTTGATTCTTTATCAAATTGAAAAACTCTTCAGCGTAGCGACTTTGCTACACACGGAGAGGTCCGTGCACCGCCTCGTTTGCACAGCCTCTATCCCTGTGCCACGTGTAGTTCGTGCACACACAGCTGTTAAGAGTTTGATGTTTTGTTGATTCACAATTTACGTGTGTTTTCCTGTAATGGTTTTTTGTTAATGTTTTAGTGGAAATAAAGTCGTGAAAAGTCTCTTCCTCTCTCTCTCCCCACTCTCTCGGCCGAGTGTCGCATGCTTGGGACCTTTCTTTCCCTCCTCTGCGGATTTAATTTGATGTGCTGATTTACACCCAGCATATTTCAGACTTCCCTGTTTTGTCAGGGCATGTTCCTGATCATTACCAACGTTCCAATGGCCAGGAACTTCAGAGTAACCTATTACCTTTTCATGCAGCATCATAATATAATTTTCCTGGATCATCGCCTTTATAGCTTTGATCAATTGCCAATGGTTTACCGGTTCGTGTTAGTGTTTACTTGTGCCGCCCTCTTTCCCAGTGGGACCACGTGGCGTGAAGTTGTGTCGCACATGAACAGAGTCGGTGCACATCACGAGTCTCCGTACTCGACTGTCACAGAGACACACAGAGACACACAGAGACATTGATACACACAGAGACACACACACAGAGACACACACACAGACACACACAGAGACACACAGAGACACACACACAGAGACATAGACACACACAGAGACAGACACACACAGAGACACACACACAGAGACACACACAGACACGCAGAGACACACACACAGAGACATAGACACACACAGAGAGACACATACAGACACACACGCAGAGACACACACAGACACACAGAGACACACACACAGAGACATAGACACACACAGAGAGACACACACAGACACACACGCAGAGACACACAGACACACAGAGACACATGCAGAGACACAGACACACATACAGACACACAGAGACACATGCAGAGACACAGACACACACAGAGACACACATAGACACACACAGAGACACACACAGACACACGCAGAGACGCACAGAGACACACACACAGAGACACACACGCAGAGACGCACAGACACACACAGAGACACACATGCAGAGACACAGACACACACACAGAGACACACACACAGACACACACACACACAGAGACACAGACACACACACAGAGACATAGACACACATGCAGAGACACAGACACACACACAGAGACACACAGACACACACAGAGACATAGACACACACACAGAGACACACACACACACAGAGACACACAGACACACACATGCAGAGACACAGACACACACACGCAGTGACACAGACACACACACACACAGTGACACACACACAGAGACACACAGTGACACACACACAGAGACACAGAGACACACACAGAGACATAGACACACACACAGAGACACACACACAGAGACATGGACACACACAGAGACACAGACACACACATAGACACACACACAGAGACACACGCAGAGACACACACACACACAGAGACACACACAGAGACAGACACACACAGAGAGACACACACAGACACACACGCAGAGACACACAGACACAGAGACACACATGCAGAGACACACACACACAGATATAGACACACACACAGACACACACACAGAGACACAGACACACACAGAGACGACATGGACACACACGTAGACATGCAGAGACACACACACATAGAGACATGGACACACACGCAGAGACACGTAGAGACACACAGAGACATGCACGCAGAGGCACAAAGACACGCAGAGACATAGACACAGACACACCGTTACAGACACAGACACACGCAGACACACGCAGAGACACAGACACGCACAGAGACCGGCAGTTGATGCTGCAGCTGCTGCATAGAGTTTGTGTCTCTCTGTCTTTCTGTTGTCGAGTGGATTTTCTTTCCGGGCCCTCTGGTTTTCCCCTCCACATTTGAGAGCCGTGAGTTGCTAGAGTCTTTGCCAACTGCTATAAAGGTTCACGTGATGATGATGATGAACCTCATTGGTAGAACTGTCATCGGTAATGGCCAGCTCAGGGCCTTCTAAAAGAGAGCTTACACACACAGCATCTCAATGAGGCCCTTGCCCGCTAAAAATAAAACGCGGTTTAGTTTCTAGTTCAAGTCTTGTGCACAACAACAACAGCATCATCACGACGCGCCCACCTGCTCAGAGCAGTTCCAGCCCAGGTAAGTGAACTTGCCACCTTTATTACCATCACCACCAGCACCACAATGTCTCCCCCAGTAAACAACAAAACAGCTGGGCAGGCAGCCTCACTCACGGGGCAAGCAGCCAGGCAAGGAGAGAGGAGGCCAGGCCATGGACAGACCGGGACACAACCAACGCTGGGACACGTGGTGAGTCTGTGGGTCTCTGTGTGGCGAGTCTGTGGGTCTCTGTGTGGTGAGTCTGTGGGTCTCTATGTGGTGAGTCTGTGGGTCTCTGTGTGGTGAGTCTGTGGGTCTCTGTGTGGCGAGTCTGTGGGTCTCTGTGTGGTGACCCCAGCCCTTGTCAGGGCTGGGGCTCAGTGTCACCAGTGGTCAGGGGAGATAGGTCCTGGATAGGACCCTGGCTCCCAGCCTTCCCGCCCTTGTGAGGGCGAAGGTCTCGAGTGAGCAGAGGGTCGGGGACCCGCCGGGTCGGTGTGCCTCCCCTAGGTCCAGCCGGAGGACGCTGGGCTAGTGGGGAGATTGGATAGACGGCAAGTCTGGAGGACGCTGGGATGGCGGGGAGATTGGATAGACGGCAAGTCTGGAGGACGCTGGGCTGGCGGGGAGATTGGATAGACGGCAAGTCTGGAGGACGCTGGGATGGCGGGGAGATTGGATAGACGGCAAGTCTGGAGGACGCTGGGATGGCGGGGAGATTGGATAGACGGCAAGTCTGGAGGACGCTGGGATGGCGGGGAGATTGGATAGACGGCAAGTCTGGAGGACGCTGGGCTGGCGGGGAGATTGGATAGACGGCAAGTCTGGAGGACGCTGGGATGGCGGGGAGATTGGATAGACGGCAAGTCTGGAGGACGCTGGGCTAGCGGGGAGATTGGATAGACGGCAAGTCTGGAGGACGCTGGGCAAGGGGGGAGATTGGATAGACGGCAAGTCTGGAGGACGCTGGGCTAGGGGGGAGATTGGATAGACGGCAAGTCTGGAGGATGCTGGGATGGCGGGGAGATTGGATAGACGGCAAGTCTGGAGGACGCTGGGCTAGGGGGGAGATTGGATAGACGGCAAGTCCGGAGGACGCTGGGATGGCGGGGAGATTGGATAGACGGCAAGTCTGGAGGATGCTGGGATGGCGGGGAGATTGGATAGACGGCAAGTTTGGAGGACGCTGGGCTGGCGGGGAGATTGGATAGACGGCAAGTCTGGAGGACGCTGGGCTGGCGGGTAGATTGGATAGACGGCAAGTCTGGAGGACGCTGGGATGGCGGGGAGATTGGATAGACGGCAAGTCTGGAGGACGCTGGGCTAGGGGGGAGATTGGATAGACGGCAAGTCTGGAGGACGCTGGGCTAGGGGGGAGATTGGATAGACGGCAAGTCTGGAGGATGCTGGGATGGCGGGGAGATTGGATAGACGGCAAGTCTGGAGGACGCTGGGCTAGGGGGGAGATTGGATAGACGGCAAGTCCGGAGGACGCTGGGATGGCGGGGAGATTGGATAGACGGCAAGTCTGGAGGATGCTGGGATGGCGGGGAGATTGGATAGACGGCAAGTTTGGAGGACGCTGGGATGGCGGGGAGATTGGATAGACGGCAAGTCTGGAGGACGCTGGGATGGCGGGGAGATTGGATAGACGGCAAATCTGGAGGACGCTGGGATGGCGGGGAGATTGGATAGACGGCAAGTCTGGAGGACGCTGGGATGGCGGGGAGATTGGATAGACGGCAAGTCTGGAGGACGCTGGGCTAGGGGGTTGATTGGATAGACGGCAAGTCTGGAGGATGCTGGGCTAGGGGGTTGATTGGATAGACGGCAAGTCTGGAGGACGCTGAACTAGCGGGGAGATTGGATAGACGGCAAGTCTGGAGGACGCTGAACTAGCGGGGAGATTGGATAGACGGCAAGTCTGGAGGACGCTGAACTAGCGGGGAGATTGGATAGACGGCAAGTCTGGAGGACGCTGGGCTAGCGGGGAGATTGGATAGACGGCAAGTCGGAGGACGCTGGGCTAGGGGGTTGATTGGATAGACGGCAAGTCTGGAGGACGCTGGGCTAGGGGGGAGATTGGATAGACGGCAAGTCTGGAGGACGCTGGGATGGCGGGGAGATTGGATAGACGGCAAGTCTGGAGGACGCTGGGATGGCGGGGAGATTGGATAGACGGCAAGTCTGGAGGACGCTGGGCTAGGGGGGAGATTGGATAGACGGCAAGTCTGGAGGACGCTGGGATGGCGGGGAGATTGGATAGACGGCAAGTCTGGAGGACGCTGGGATGGCGGGGAGATTGGATAGACGGCAAGTCTGGAGGACGCTGGGATGGCGGGGAGATTGGATAGACGGCAAGTCTGGAGGACGCTGGGCTAGGGGGGAGATTGGATAGACGGCAAGTCTGGAGGACGCTGGGCTGGCGGGTAGATTGGATAGACGGCAAGTCTGGAGGACGCTGGGATGGCGGGGAGATTGGATAGACGGCAAGTCTGGAGGACGCTGGGCTAGGGGGGAGATTGGATAGACGGCAAGTCTGGAGGACGCTGGGCTAGGGGGGAGATTGGATAGACGGCAAGTCTGGAGGATGCTGGGATGGCGGGGAGATTGGATAGACGGCAAGTCTGGAGGACGCTGGGCTAGGGGGGAGATTGGATAGACGGCAAGTCCGGAGGACGCTGGGATGGCGGGGAGATTGGATAGACGGCAAGTCCGGAGGACGCTGGGATGGCGGGGAGATTGGATAGACGGCAAGTCTGGAGGATGCTGGGATGGCAGGGAGATTGGATAGACGGCAAGTTTGGAGGACGCTGGGATGGCGGGGAGATTGGATAGACGGCAAGTCTGGAGGACGCTGGGATGGCGGGGAGATTGGATAGACGGCAAGTCTGGAGGACGCTGGGATGGCGGGGAGATTGGATAGACGGCAAGTCTGGAGGACGCTGGGCTAGGGGGTTGATTGGATAGACGGCAAGTCTGGAGGATGCTGGGCTAGGGGGTTGATTGGATAGACGGCAAGTCTGGAGGACGCTGAACTAGCGGGGTGATTGGATAGACGGCAAGTCTGGAGGACGCTGAACTAGCGGGGAGATTGGATAGACGGCAAGTCTGGAGGACGCTGAACTAGCGGGGAGATTGGATAGACGGCAAGTCTGGAGGACGCTGGGCTAGCGGGGAGATTGGATAGACGGCAAGTCGGAGGACGCTGGGCTAGGGGGTTGATTGGATAGACGGCAAGTCTGGAGGACGCTGGGCTAGGGGGGAGATTGGATAGACGGCAAGTCTGGAGGACGCTGGGATGGCGGGGAGATTGGATAGACGGCAAGTCTGGAGGATGCTGGGATGGCGGGGAGATTGGATAGACGGCAAGTTTGGAGGACGCTGGGCTAGGGGGGAGATTGGATAGACGGCAAGTCTGGAGGACGCTGGGATGGCGGGGAGATTGGATAGACGGCAAGTCTGGAGGACGCTGGGATGGCGGGGAGATTGGATAGACGGCAAGTCTGGAGGACGCTGGGATGGCGGGGAGATTGGATAGACGGCAAGTCTGGAGGACGCTGGGCTAGGGGGTTGATTGGATAGACGGCAAGTCTGGAGGATGCTGGGCTAGGGGGTTGATTGGATAGACGGCAAGTCTGGAGGACGCTGAACTAGCGGGGTGATTGGATAGACGGCAAGTCTGGAGGACGCTGAACTAGCGGGGAGATTGGATAGACGGCAAGTCTGGAGGACGCTGAACTAGCGGGGAGATTGGATAGACGGCAAGTCTGGAGGACGCTGGGCTAGCGGGGAGATTGGATAGACGGCAAGTCGGAGGACGCTGGGCTAGGGGGTTGATTGGATAGACGGCAAGTCTGGAGGACGCTGGGCTAGGGGGTAGATTGGATAGACGGCAAGTCTGGAGGACGCTGGGATGGCGGGGAGATTGGATAGACGGCAAGTCTGGAGGACGCTGGGATGGCGGGGAGATTGGATAGACGGCAAGTCTGGAGGACGCTGGGCTAGGGGGGAGATTGGATAGACGGCAAGTCTGGAGGACGCTGGGATGGCGGGGAGATTGGATAGACGGCAAGTCTGGAGGACGCTGGGATGGCGGGGAGATTGGATAGACGGCAAGTCTGGAGGACGCTGGGATGGCGGGGAGATTGGATAGACGGCAAGTCTGGAGGACGCTGGGCTAGGGGGGAGATTGGATAGACGGCAGGTCTGGAGGATGCTGGGCTAGGGGGGAGATTGGATAGACGGCAGGTCTGGAGGACGCTGGGATGGCGGGGAGATTGGATAGACGGCAAGTCTGGAGGACGCTGGGATGGCGGGGAGATTGGATAGACGGCAAGTCTGGAGGACGCTGGACTAGCGGGGAGATTGGATAGACGGCAAGTCCGGAGGACGCTGGGCTAGCGGGGAGATTAGATAGACGGCAAGTCTGGAGGACGCTGGGCTAGGGGGGAGATTGGATAGACGGCAGGTCTGGAGGACGCTGGGATGGCGGGGAGATTGGATAGACGGCAAGTCTGGAGGACGCTGGGCTAGCGGGGAGATTGGATAGACGGCAAGTCTGGAGGACGCTGGGATGGCGGGGAGATTGGATAGACGGCAAGTCTGGAGGCTGTAGCTCCGTAGATTAGGAGTGAAGTGTGAGCTGTGCAGGTCAGGAGGCTGTACCTCCTCAGGGTAACGGGTGAGGGGACCGTACAACCCTTGTGTGTGTTAGGGACTGTGTCATTAAGACAATAAACTGTGTGTGCCATAAAGAGGTTTATTAGTCCGTCCTTTACAACACTACACATGTATAACTTGCCGTGTAAAACATCATTCATTCTCCTCTGGAACGGACGTCGCCACGCGGAGAGACGGACGCCGCCAACTCCGAGCCAACAGCGGCGGGCGTCGTCGTCACGGCTCGAGCTGGAACCCGGCACGTCGCGCGTGCCACGCGAGGTGGTCACTGTCTCGCGGCCAGCGCACGGTCACCCTGCAGGAGGTGAACGGGTTGGTGCGGAGACGACTCGGTGAGCGGCTTTCATCCGGCAATGTCAACCAGGGCCGGGGGCGGGATTCTAGAGTTGCCAGCTCTGCTCCTCCACCGCCGCCACCGTGGTGATGGTGGTGGTGGTGGTCGTGGTCGCAGCGGCGGTGATGGTGGTGGTCGCAGTGGTGGTGGTGGCTGCCGGGACTGTCAGGGAGCAGGCTCGGGGCGGTCGCTGGCTGCTCCATCGCTGGGGAACGAGAAGATCGCACGCAGCGTGGGGAGAGAAACTCTTATAGTGTAGTAGATGATGATGAGAGAGAGACACGCAAACTCCAAGTATACAGCAGCAGGCGTCAGGGTCTGGATCGAACCCACGACTTCCTACGCACCAGGCGAGGTAGTCAACATCTGTGTAGCCGCCGCCGCTCACCGGGACGATTGCCGGGGCTCCGTCTGTTCCGCACGGTGCACACCAGCGCCAGCACCAGCACCAGCAGCGTCACCAGCAGCGTCGCCATGGCCACCAGCGAGCTGATGGAGGCGACACGGCCGCTGGCAAAGAGCGTCACCACGTCCCCCGTGGACACCCCACGCGAGGTGGATGGGGCGGTGGTGGTGGCGGTGCGGGTGGTGGTGCGGGTGGTGGTGGTGGGGGTGGTGGTGGGGGTGGTGGTGGCGGTGGCGGTGGTGGGGGTGGTGGTGGGGGTGGGGGTGGTGGTGGTGGCGGTGTTGGCGGTGGTGGTGGGGGTGGTGGTGGGGGTGGTGGTGGTGGTGGGGGTGGTGGTGGTGGGGTGGTGGTGGTGGTGGGGGTGGTGGTGGCGGTGGTGGTGGGGTGGTGGTGGTGGGGGTGGTGGGGGTGGTGGTGGTGGGGGTTGTGGTGGTGGTGGTGGCGGCGGTGGTGGTGGCGGTGGTGGTGGTGGGGATGGTGGTGGGGGTGGTGGTGGTGGTGGCGGTGGTGGTGGGGGTGGTGGTGGCGGTGGTGGCGGTGGTGGTGGCGGGGGTGGTGGTGGTGGCAGCGGTGGTGGGGGTGGTGGTGGTGGTGGCAGCGGTGGTGGGGGTGGTGGTGGGGGTGGTGGTGGTGGTGGTGGCGGGGGTGGTGGCTACGAGATTGGGGACACACGAGGAGATACGGGGAGACATGGGGAGACAGAGTCACGGGGGAAACAGACAGAGACACAGTGAGACAGATACAGGCAGAGAGACACAGACAGAGACACAGTGAGACAGATACAGGCAGAGAGACAGATACACAGACAGAGACACAGACAGAGACACAGAGAGACACAGACAGAGACACAGACAGAGTGGGATGCTGAGCAGTGTTGTTGGATGAGGAGCGGTGGTGCAGCGGTTAGCGCTACACTGCGCTATGAACCCAGCGTCCCAGGTTCGATTCCCGCTCACGGCCAACACCGGTGACGATTATCTAAACCGTTCCCGGGCCTCCCCTAGGTCGCCTCAGCCTCAAAATGAGTACCTGGTGCGGCGTATAAACATCGCCACTGGGGAGACAAAGGCGGCCGGGCGTGGTGCTGGCCACCCACCCCCTCGTGTAAAGTTCTGACCTTCATAGGTGCTCGCTAACAGCACTTGCCCCAACAGTCTGTTAAGGCTACACGGGGGATATTTGTCTGTGTGTGTCTGTGTGTGTGTCTGTGTGTACCTGTCTGTGTGTTGTTGTTCAACACCGCCTTGCCAGGCACGCTGAGGAGAGGCTTGCGGAGCCCCAATGCGGTTTCAGGAAAGGGCGGTCCTGCACAGATGCCATATTTTCTGTCCGTCTGCTACAGCAGAGGTGTAGGGAATTCCAACAAGACCTACATCTCTGCTTTATTGACCTGGTCAAGGCCTATGATACCATCAGTAGGACTGGGCTCTGGGCAGTTTTTCGTGCTTTCGGAGTCCCTGACCCTCTGCTCACGATCATTAAGGACCTTCATGATGGTGAGCGGGCCCGGATAAAACTACGTGGCCGGGAGTCAGAGCCTTTCCCTGTACACCTTGGGGTGCGACAGGGATGTCCTCTGGCTCCCACATTATTTAACATTTATTTTAACCACATAGTTCGTGAAGCCTTCAATAGCTGTACCAGAGGAATTTCCATCTGTTACAGATACAATGGGAGGCTGATCGATGCCCGGGTGCGGTCAAGGGATGGCTCCCTATCGCTCAACCATGTTGCGTATGCTGATGATTTGGTAATAGCTGCTCATTCAGAAGAGGAGTTGGAGACGCTGCTGCTGAGACTGGAGCGTGCCACTAAGAGGTGGGGCCTTACCATCAGCCCCACCAAAACTAAGCACCTGCCTGGGTATTTTGTACCATTGGACACTCCACCCCCACAACTCCCAATTGGTGATTGAGGAGTTGTGGAGAGAGTGGAAAGTTTCCCATACCTGGGCAGTGTGCTCATGACTGGCTGAGGTCTCACTCCGAATCAGTCGAGCGGCATTACCTTTTCATCGGTTACATAATACTGTGTGGAAGCTACCTGGTTTGTCACTCCGCACGAATCTTCAGGTCTTCTCGGCCACGGTCATTCCCTCCCTTCTCTACGCATGCGAAAAGTGGACCCCCCTAATGGAACATATTCGCCGGTTAGAAACATTTAGGCTGGCCTGTCTACGATCCATCCTGGGTTTAACCTGCAGGCTGGATTGTGTGAGGAGCTCACAAATCCCAGAAAGATCTGGGCAAAGTCCCATTGGTGAGCTCCTCCGGCAGGCAAGGCTGCGTTGGCTGGGCCATGTAGCCTGCATGCCCAGCCACCGCATGTCTGAACAGCTTTTGTTCAGCCGGATAGAGAGGGCTAAATGGGTGCGCCACTCACCCACCCACTCACCCACTCAATCACTCAACTACTTACCAAATCACTCGCTCACCCACCCACTCACCCACCCACCCACTCACCCACCCACTCACTCACCCACCCACCCACTCACCCACTCAATCACTCACGCACCAACTCACTCAACCACCCACTCAGTCAACTACTCACCCACCCACTAAACCACCCACTCACTCAACTACTTACCAAATCACTCGCTCACCCACCCACTCACCCACCCACTCACCCACCCACCCACTCACTCACCCACCCACCTACTCACCCACCCACTCACTCACGCACCCACTCACTCAACCACCCACTCAGTCAACTACTCACCCACCCACTAACCCACCCACTCACTCAACTACTTACCAAATCACTCGCTCACCCACCCACTCACTCACCCACTCACTCACTCACCCACCCACCCACTCACCCACTCACCCACCCACTCACTCACTCACTCACTCACCCACCCACCCACCCACCTACTCACCCACCCACTCACCCACCCACTCACTCACTCATTCACCCACCCACCCACCAACTCACTCACCCACCAACCCACTCACTCACTCACCCACTCATTCACCCACTCTCTCACCCACCAACTAACTCACCACCCACTCACTCACCCACCCACCCACTCACTCACCATCCCACTCACTCACCCACTCACCCACCCACCCACTCACCCACCCACCCACTCACCCACGGCGCTGTGTGGTGGAGGGACGGAGACACACGACAGTGGAGACCACTCCCCTGTCTTCCACCGCGGGTAGCGAGCCGCGACTCTCACGCGGACGCAGTACTCAGCAGCGCCTGCAGGCTGAGGCAGCGCGTGGCGGTAGCGACATCCCACAAAGCGCTCCTGGCAGGAGCAAGCAGATGGTCTCAGTGTGCCGGGTTACGTGGATGACACGTTGGTGGTCTGGCCACACGGCAAAGATAGACTGAGCGCGTTTCTAAATCATCTCAACTCGCAAAACCCATCCATCCAGTTCAGCATGGAAGTGGAAGCTGACAGAACTCAACCATTTCTGGACATTCAGTAGCAGCAGCAGCAATAGCATCGTCATCAGTAGTAGTAGCATCACCACCCACCCACTCACCCACTCACTCTCCCACCCACCCGCCCACCCACTCACCCACCCACCCACCCACTCACCAACCCACCCACCCACCCACTCACCAACCCACCCACTCACCCACTCACCCACCCACCCACCCACTCACTCACTCATCCACCCACTCACCCACTCACCCACTCACTCACCCACCCACTCACCAACCCACCCACTCATCCACCCACCCACTCACCCACCCACCCACCCACTCACCCACCCACTCATCCACCCACCCACACACCCCCTCACCCACCCACTCACCCACCCACCCACTCACCCACCCACTCACCCACCCACTCACCCACCCACTCACCCACCCACCCACCCACTCACCCACCCACCCACCCACCCACTCACACACACACACACCCACCTACCCACTCACCCACCCACACACCCACTCACCCACTCACTCACCCACACACCCACTCACCCACCCACCCACCCACCCACCCACTCACACACACACCCACCCACACACCCACTCACCCACCCACACACCCACTCACCCACCCACTCACCCACCCACTCACCCACCCACTCACCCACCCACCCACTCACCCACCCACCCACCCACCCACCCACCCACCCACCCACACACCCACTCACCCACCCACTCACCCACACACCCACCCACCCACCCACTCTCACCGTGCTAGTCACACCCCTCCTTGTGGAGACCTCGGCTTGTAGATGGTACAGCACGTCACTCTGCGCCATCCTCCTCCTCCACTCGCTCCTCATGGAGACCCGCACGGACAGCTCCCACCGCTCTCCCTCGTCGCCACCGCCATCACCGTCATCGCCGCCATCACCGTCATCGTCGTCGTCATTCTCGTAGCCATCTTTGTCGTCATGTTTGTAGTCCTCACGCTCACTACCACACTCCTCCTCCTCGTCACCACCCTCGTCACCACCCTCCTCACCACCCTCCTCACCACCCTCCTCACCACCCTCCTCACCACCCTCCTCACCACCCTCCTCCAGCGTCGCATCCTTGTGGAGCATCAAGGTGACAGTCGGAGCACTCAGCACGGCTGAGACACACACAGACACACAGACACACACACAGACACACACACAGACACACACAGACACAGACACACACACAGACACACACACACACAGAGACACTCACACACAGACACACACACAGAGACACTCACACACAGACACACACACACAGAGACACACACACAGACACACACACACACAGACACTCACACACAGAGACACACAGAGACACACACAGAGACACTCACACAGACACACACACAAACACACACATACACAGAGACACACACACAGACACACACAGGGACACACACACAGAGACACTCACACAAAGAGACACTCACACACAGAGAGACACACTCACACAGACACACACACACAGACACACAAAGACACTCACACAAAGAGACACTCACACACAGAGACACACACACAGACACACACACAAAGAGACACTCACACACAGACACACACACAGAGAGACACTCACACACAGACACACACACAGAGAGACACACTCACACAGACACACACACAGACACACACAGAGACACTCACACAAAGAGACACTCACACACAGAGACACACACACAGAGACACACACAGAGACACACACAGACAGAGACACACAGAGACACTCACACACAGACACACACACACAGAGACACACACACAGACACACACACAGAGACACACACGCACACAGAGACACTCACACACAGAGACACTCACACAGAGAAACTCACACAGAGACACAGAGAGTGAGACACTCACACACAGACACAGAGACAAACACAGAGACACTCACACACAGAGACACTCACACACAGAGACACTCACACAGATAAACTCACACAGAGACACAGAGAGTGAGACACTCACACACAGACACAGAGACACACACAGAGACACTCACACACAGAGACACTCACACACAGAGACACTCACACAGAGAAACTCACACAGAGACACAGAGAGTGAGACACTCACACACAGACACAGAGACACACACAGAGACACTCACACACAGAGACACTCACACACAGAGACACTCACACAGAGAAACTCACACAGAGACACAGAGAGTGAGACACTCACACACAGACACAGAGACACACACAGAGACACTCACACACAGAGACACTCACACACAGAGACACTCACACAGAAACTCACACAGAGACACAGAGAGTGAGATACTCACACACAGACAAAGAGACACACACAGAGACACTCACACACAGAGACACTCACACACAGAGACACTCACACAGAGAAACTCACACAGAGACACAGAGAGTGAGACACTCACACACAGACACAGAGACACACACAGAGACACTCACACACAGAGACACTCACACACAGAGACACTCACACAGAGAAACTCACACAGAGACACAGAGAGTGAGACACTCACACACAGACACAGAGACACACACAGAGACATAGACAATGCCACTCACTTGTCTTCAAGGGTAACACCTCAACCACGACCCAGGGTGACGATGATGGTGGTGATGGTGGTGGTGATGATGGTGGTGATGGTGGTGATGGTGGTGTTGGTGGTGGTGATGAGACGGTGGATCTGACGCGAAGTTGATAGCGGTCGCCAGGATGTCGCAGCGCTGAGGAGACATCGCACCGTGTCTCTGTGGTGGCAGCGCAGACGGTCCGCCAGTGGGCTCGTGCATAGCTGCACAGACAGAGACACGGGGAGGAGGAGGTGGTGGTGAGGAGTGGGTGGGTGAGTGGGTGAGTGGGTGGGTGGGTGGGTGAGTGAGTGAGTGGGTGGGTGGGTGAGTGGGTGGGTGGGTGAGTGGGTGGGTGGGTGAGTGGGTGGGTGGGTGAGTGAGTGAGTGGGTGGGTGGGTGAGTGGGTGGGTGGGTGGGTGAGTGAGGTGAGTGGGTGGGTGGGTGGGTGAGTGGGTGGGTGGGTGAGTGAGTGGGTGGGTGAGTGAGTGAGTGAGTGAGTGAGTGGGTGGGTGAGTGAGTGGGTGGGTGAGTGGGTGGGTGGGTGAGTGGATGGGTGGTTGAGTGAGTGGTTGAGCGAGTGGATGAGTGAGTGGATGGGTGAGCGAGTGGGTGAGTGGGTGAGCGAGTGGGTGAGTGAGTGAGTGAGCGAGTGGATGAGTGAGCGAGCATCTCACAGTTTGCTGTCCACCCTGTAGGTAACGTCCAGGAGCTTTGAGCTGCTGCTGGTGGCGACGTCCACTTCAGCGTCGTGGTCCCAGCGGAGTTGCGTCAGCAGGTCGCGAGACTCCACGCGGACATTCAGAGGGGGAGTCGCAGCTGGGGAGATGGGAAAACGGCACTCGGTGTGCGCTAACCACTGCACCACCGCTCCCCACACTGCGCTAACCACTGCCCCACCACTCCCCACACACAGTGCGCTAACCACTGCACCACCACTCCCCACACACACACATACAGTGTGCTAACCACTGCACCACCGCTCCCCACACACACACATACAGTGCGCTAACCACTGCACCACCGCTCCCAACACACACACACACACAGTGCGCTAACCACTGCACCACCACTCACACACACAGTGCGCTAACCACTGCACCACCACTCCCCACACACACACATACAGTGCGCTAACCACTGCACCACCGCTCCCCACACACACACATACAGAGCACTAACCACTGCACCACTGCTCCCAACACACACACAGTGCGCTAACCACTGCACCACCACTCACACACACAGTGCACTAACCACTGCACCACCGCTCCCCACACACACACAGTGCGCTAACCACTGCACCACCGCTCCCCACACACACACACAGTGCGCTAACCACTGCACCACCACTCCACACACACACACAGTGCGCTAACCACTGCACCACCGCTCCCCACTCACACACACACAGTGCGCTAACCACTGCACCACCACTCCCACCCCCACACAGTGCGCTAACCACTGCACCACCGCTCCCCCCACACACACACACACAGTGCGCTAACCACTGCACCACCACTCCACACACACACACAGTGCGCTAACCACTGCACCACCGCTCCCCACTCACACACACACAGTGCGCTAACCACTGCACCACCGCTCCCCACACACACACACAGTGCGCTAACCACTGCACCACCGCTCCCCACACACACACACACACAGTGTGCTAACCACTGCACCACCGCTCCCCACACACTGTGCTAACCACTGCACCACCGCTCCCCACACTGCGCTAACCACTGCACCACCACTCCCCACACACACACAAAGTGCGCTAACCACTGCACCACCACTCCCCACACAAAGTGCGCTAACCACTGCACCACCACTCCCCACTCACAAACACAGTGCGCTAACCACTGCACCACCACTCCCCACACACACACAAAGTGCACTAACCACTGCACCACCGCTCCACACACACAAAGTGCGCTAACCACTGCACCACCGCTCCCCACACACACACACAGTGCACTAACCACTGCACCACCGCTCCCCCCCCACACACACAGTGTGCTAACCACTGCCCCACCGCTCCCCACACACACACAGTGCGCTAACCACTGCACCACCACTCCCCACACAAAGTGCGCTAACCACTGCACCACCACTCCCCACTCACACACACAGTGCGCTAACCACTGCACCACCACTCCCCACACAAAGTGCGCTAACCACTGCACCACCACTCCCCACTCACACACACACTGCGCTAACCACTGCACCACCGCTCCCCACACACACACACTGCGCTAACCACTGTACCACTACTCCCCACACACACACACAGTGCGCTAACCACTGCACCACCGCTCCCCACACACACACACAGTGCGCTAACCACTGCACCACCACTCCCACCCCCACACACACAGTGCGCTAACCACTGTACCACCACTCCCCCCACACACACAGTGCGCTAACCACTGTACCACCACTCCCCACACACACACACACACAGTGCGCTAACCACTGCACCACCGCTCCCCCCACACACACAGTGCGCTAACCACTGTGCCACCACTCCCCACACACACACACAGTGCGCTAACCACTGCACCACCGCTCCCCACGTCCACCACAACCTGGTACCCGATGTATCGACCACCTCTGGCTGTGCTCACCGCGTGTGCACGTGACGAGGAGGGAGAGGAAGAGTAGGCCAAGTCTCGAGAAGAGTTCTCGCACCGCCATGACACCCACCTGGGACCCACGTGTTTCAGTTTCTCAAGTCACGTGGTGCAGAGAAATTCGATTCCCGGTTCGATTAACTCCACTTGCGTCGATTCTTAATGGGATAACATTAGGAATCGATTCTTGTAGTGGATTTATAGAGTCGATTTCTATTGGGATAACATGGGAATCGATTTATAGTTGATTAAGCTATTGGAATCGATTTACGTTGAGATAACATGGAAATAGACTATCGTGGGTGTGTGTCCATGTGTGTGTGTGTAAGGTCCGGCAAAACAACCTCCTACCTCCTCGCGGTGCCGGACGGGCAACACTGTCGTGGGCAGTGCTGTGGGGGGAAGTCCAATGCCCATTGGCCTCTCCCCTCATGGCGTCTGTGACCACCACAGTGGCTAAACGGGGGCTCTGGACGGGTGTGAGGGGCTGGTAACCCCTCCACCTTCAATTAACCACCACTAAACCACGAATTAAACATAAACCTGTAACAAATAAGCTTGTGCCGGAGGCCCCGGGGGGGTCAGGCTTTTATGACGTCTCCTGGCCAAACCCCATTTGGCGGAGCCAGGAGATTGAATTTTCACCCTCGGGGCTCCTCCAGAAACAACAAAAAACCATTGCGGATGGCCACGTGGAATGTTCGAACGCTCACTGCGGAGGAGAGGCTGCCACTCCTCTGTCGGGAGCTGGACCGGTACCGCCTGGATCTCTGTGGCATTCAGGAGGTCCGGTGGACCGGTTCTGGCTCCTGCCACCATGAGGGGTGGACAGTCCTCTACTCGGGGCAGGAGACTGCCAAACAACAGGGTGTGGCTCTTCTTCTGAACAAAAGAATGAAGGGGGCGTGGGAGCGTGGCGGTGAGGTGTGGGAAGCTGTAAGTCCCAGGATACTTTGGGCTCGCCTTCCCATCAACCAGAGGCGAGGAGTGGTGGTCGTGGTTACTTATGCCCCCACCGAAGACGAACATCCGTGGAGGGATGCAGGCAAAGCCGATGAGTCAGACTCTTTCTATGACCTCCTGTCACAGGTGCTTGCTAAAGTGGCCACTCGGGACAGAGTC